TTTTTTTCCACTGATTTTCAGTAGTCCCTATATATTTTCTCTTCCTTAGCTTTATTATTATTTTCTACCTGTTTTAGTCAAATAAACTATATTTTCCATTAAACAATTATCTTCCATGGGACAGCCACTTTTTACTCTACAGTTGCATCTAGCTTTGTTTTGGTTATAATAGCTGTTATTGTGTTTTGTTGTTTTTTAATTATTTTTCTGATATTTTTATCTCCAACTGTAACTGACTGTATTTATTAAATAATTTCATTTATTTTCAGAAGTAGCAAAATGTTTTTTAATTAATTTAAGAAATATTCTTCCTATATTGGTTTTACTGATTTACTGTGTGGTAGATTAAACCATATTACCTTTCTACTTCTTTTTATTATTGTTTCATTGCTGTTCACTATATTTTAGCTCATATTTTATCCACTTTTTTTTCCAATGCTTGATATAGGCTCTTAGTTTTTTGAAAGACTCCTCTAGATGCTATGGACTTATATAGATGTTTTGTGACAATATTAGGGTGATTGAACTCAGTAAAATGGAAAATTTCCTGGTTTTCTGTTTGGTTTGTATTCCCCAGTGTACATATTTAAATTCACATCTAGGTAGTTCACTTCTATAAGGTTTGATCCTACTTCTATTCTGAGGCCATACTGTTTAAATAACAGTCTTTACAGTGCTTATCATTTTCCCTATTACTTTCACTACAATTAGTCCTGTATAGGCCTAATATTTCTTTATTGTATGTATAGGATTGTTTCCACAATAAAAAAAATATAAAGCCCACTCTTTTCCTTCTTATATATTATATATATATATATATATATATATATATTATAAATTAATTGATTTAAAATGTTTTTCTTCGCTACACAGTTCTAACCATGTTTCAAAAATGGAAGCTAAAAGCTCTGAATTTAATTTTGTAAGTAAATTAAAGACATTAGTTCCATTTCATCTTCAAGTGAATTTTGGAGTAACTTTTAAAATTACTGGGTTTTAAAGACAGAAATAAAATCATAATTCACGTTTCCAAGGTTACAGGTATCAAACTGACAATTTTGATTCATGGGTTTAGTTCTTGTGGGATTTACAATAATTCTTGAAGCCAGCAAGTGACACACTAAACTAAATTGTTCTGTACAGGGACTGGCTTGTTTTATAAATTCTGTTCCAGTTGCTCGTGGGCTTTTATGTGATTGGTGAAATTGGAGTTGTTTCTGCAGGTCTTCTGAATGACACACAATGCATGTTAACTCGTTCCCAGTGTAGTATTTTTGTAATTTGTCAAAGGTCTACCAATATGACGCTTCTGACAGCTAGCTAAAGTCCCAAATACATCTCATGAGGAGAATTCAAATTTAGCAGTTTAAACACATTATTGTAGAGACATACTCTGCCATATTCATCACACGTAAATTGCTGGATCAATGATTTTCCCTAACTGCATGCTTGACATTTGCCCAACTCATTGCATGTTTTTGGAAGACCTTTGTGCTGAAATTAATTATATTTCTCCACTATTTTGATCACAAGCAATATATACACATACATAAATTACAAAAAAACTGGCTTCTGAATAAAATACTAGACAAGTTCTGCTGCTAAAAATGAATGAAGATGAACATCTAAATCCAAGGTATTGGACATTTTTTTTTTTTTTTTTAACTATTATTCACCTAATATAAAGCTGAAAAGCCACACAAGGTAGGTGTACAGGGAGGGAGAAAGAAGTGAATATCATGAAAATATGTAGGCAGATTACGGTTGACCCTTGACTTGAGATAAGGATTGCAGCAATTGTAGAAGCATCCTCTTGGGAATTCACTTACAATGCGACAGTTCTGTGGAAGAAGCTGAGTGGAACTTTCTCCTCAGCAATGGGATATGAAAGAAATGAGGATGAGTTGAGTCAGTGTATACAGACTGGTGGGCCCAAGCTGTGAATGTCTGAACTGGTGGAATGAATGATTGTAGTTCACCCAAACATTTATGAAAATAACAATAGGATAGTGAGAAGCTAGCAATGTTTCATCTGTGGGAAAGGAGTTGAAAGGTGGAAAATAATTCATCACCCACAAGGCCAGACAAATGTTTTTGAGGCTGGATGTTGAAGATTAAGTAGTTCCAGTTCAGACATGACAGCAATAGAAATGGACTTCATAGCAATTTAATAAAATGAACACAGATGAAGCTGTATAAAATCCCAAATACATCTCATGAGGAGAATTCAAATTTAGCAGTTTAAACACATTATTCTCATGTTCATTTCTGCTCAGATCGAGAATAAAAAGAATGGAATGAAAAAATAAAAAGATGAAATGGAAAAAATTATTTTGAGATGACAATTCAAGGAGGATTGCTAGAGTGTATAACCCAAAAGCAAGAAACATGGAGGTTGTAATTGTTAATTTGCTACAAAAAATTATTTACATTTAGACTTTGTTGTTGTTTTCATAACATTACAGTTGTTGCACCTTCCAGCCTTCATCAGGTGTGTATCAATTTGAGTAACCAACAGGGAATTCCAAACTGAACACTTTATTTAAACTATGGGAATAGAATGTAAAACTATTTAAATATACAATTATACAAACATTTAAAAAACTCTCAGTATAGCAATAACACATTGAAAAAGAGGAAAAGTTATGGAAAAAAACAACAAAAAACAAAGAAACTGATCACTGACTTAAACTTCCTTTCATTTATTCTCATAAAAATTATTCATCCAATGTCTTCTTGCAACTTAGCACACAATTAGGTGGCTACATTCAATTATGAATAAGTTTCATCTAAAGAATTTTCTGATAGTGACTTTTTATGTTTCTTTACCTTCTTGTGAGATGAAGAAACTGTCTGTTCTAACACTGAATCATTAGAATTCAAATGAGCAAATTCTGAAGATCTATTATTATCTTCTTTTGCCAATTCTCCAGCAGGGTCCATAGAAATGGCCTTATCATTAAGATTAGCATCTTCTATATTTTTCTCTTCTTCATTCATGATTGGTATTTTCAATTGTGAATAGGTTTCATCTAAAAAATCTTTTGAAAGTGACTTCTTTTTCTTTTTCTTGTGTGATGAAAGTATCGGATCTTCTGGCACTAAATTTTCAGAATTCAAGTTACCAGATTCGAGTTTAGAGTAACCAATAACACTGTTTCTCTTTGTCAATATTCCAGGAGTGTCCATAGAAATGGCCGTTTCAGTATGATTACCATCTTCAATGTTTTTTACTTCATCATTTGTGATTGGTATAGTCAATTGTGGATAGGTGTTGTCTAAAGAATTTTCTAAGTGGGACATCCTTTTATGTTGCTTTTTCTTTTCGTGCGATGAAGAAACTGGCTGTTCTACAATTTTAATGTCTTCTTTTCTGATTGATATATTCAATTGTGAATAAGTTTCATCTAATGAATTTCCTGAGAGTGACTTCTTTTTATGTTTCTTCTTGTGTGAAGAAGAAACCTTTTGTTCTGGCACTGAATCCTGAGAATTCAAATGAGTGAATTCCAAAGATCCATTACCAACCGTTTTCCTGGCCAATTCTTCTGTAGTGTCCATAGAACTGGCTATCACATCCTGATTAACATCTTCAATGTTTTTCTCCTCTTCATTTGTGATTGGTATATCCATTTGTGAATAGGTTTCGTCTAATGAATTTTCTAAGAGTGACTTCTTTTTGCGCTTCTTTTTCTTGTGTGATGAAGACATCGGTCCCTCAGGAACTGAATTTTCAGAATTCAAGTCACAAGGTTCCAATTTAAAGGAATCAATAACAGTGTCTTTCTTTGCCAATACTTCAGTAGTGTCCATAGAAATGACTCTCTTATTATGATTACCATCTTCAATATTTTTCACTTCATCATTTGTGATTGGTATATTCAATTGTGAATAAGTTTCATCTAATGAATTTCCTGAGAGTGACTTCTTTTTATGTTTCTTCTTGTGTGAAGAAGAAACCTTTTGTTCTGGCACTGAATCCTGAGAATTCAAATGAGTGAATTCCAAAGATCCATTACCAACCGTTTTCCTGGCCAATTCTTCTGTAGTGTCCATAGAACTGGCTATCACATCCTGATTACCATCTTCAATGTTTTTCTCCTCTTCATTTGTGATTGGTATATCCATTTGTGAATAGGTTTCGTCTAATGAATTTTCTAAGAGTGACTTCTTTTTGCGCTTCTTTTTCTTGTGTGATGAAGACATCGGTCCCTCAGGAACTGAATTTTCAGAATTCAAGTCACAAGGTTCCAATTTAAAGGAATCAATAACAGTGTCTTTCTTTGCCAATACTTCAGTAGTGTCCATAGAAATGACTCTCTTATTATGATTACCATCTTCAATATTTTTCACTTCATCATTTGTGATTGGTATATTCAATTGTGAATAAGTTTCATCTAATGAATTTCCTGAGAGTGACTTCTTTTTATGTTTCTTCTTGTGTGAAGAAGAAACCTTTTGTTCTGGCACTGAATCCTGAGAATTCAAATGAGTGAATTCCAAAGATCCATTACCAACCGTTTTCCTGGCCAATTCTTCTGTAGTGTCCATAGAACTGGCTATCACATCCTGATTAACATCTTCAATGTTTTTCTCCTCTTCATTTGTGATTGGTATATCCATTTGTGAATAGGTTTCGTCTAATGAATTTTCTAAGAGTGACTTCTTTTTGCGCTTCTTTTTCTTGTGTGATGAAGACATCGGTCCCTCAGGAACTGAATTTTCAGAATTCAAGTCACAAGGTTCAATTTAAAGGAATCAATAACAGTGTCTTTCTTTGCCAATACTTCAGTAGTGTCCATAGAAATGACTCTCTTATTATGATTACCATCTTCAATATTTTCACTTCATCATTTGTGATTGGTATATTCAATTGTGAATAAGTTTCATCTAATGAATTTCCTGAGTGACTTCTTTTATGTTTCTTCTTGTGTGAAGAAGAAATTTTTTGTTCTGGCACTGAATCCTGAGAATTCAAATGAGTGAATTCCAAAGATCCATTACCAAACCGTTTTCCTGGCTAATTCTCCTGTAGTGTCCATAGAACTGGCTACCACATCCTGATTACCATCTTCCATGTTTTTCTCATCTTCCTTTGTGATTGGTATATTCAATTGTGAATAAGTTTCATCTAATGAATTTTCTGACAGTGAATTCTTTTTCTTTTTTTTTTTCTTCTTGCGTGATGGAGAAACCGTTTGTTCTTGCACTGAATCCTGAGAATTCAAATGAGTGAATTCCAAAGATTTATTGTCTCTGTCTGCCCTAGACAATTCTACAGCAGAGTCCATAAAACTGACCATCTCATTATGAATAACATCATCAATGTTCTTCTGTTCATCATTTGTGATTGGTATACTGAATTGTGCATTGGTTTCATCCAAAGAATTTCCTGAGTGTGATTTCTTTTTACGTTTCTTCTTGTGCGAAGAACTGGCCATCACATCCTGATTAACATGTTCAGTTTTGCTCTCATCATTAGTTTTTGGTATATTCAATTGTGAATAGGTTTCATCTAATGAAGTTTCTGAAAGTGACTTCTTTTTATGTTTCTTCTTGTGTGATGAAGAAACCATTTGTTCAGGCACTGAATCAAGAGAATTCAAATGATCAAATTCCATTTCCAAAGACCCAAAACCACTGTCTTTTCTTGCCAATTCTCCTGCTGTCATGTTTTCATCAACATTTTCAATTTTCTTCTCTTCCTTCTCTTTTTCAAATCTGTGTTTCTTTTTCTTCTTTTCTTCTGACATTGTATGAGTTTTAAAAGATTCTGTATTTCCTATACCTGGAAAATATTAATGGAATAATGACATGAATATACATATTACAAATAAAAGGATCTCTGGAAGACTACTGCTAGGATAGTGAATTTGATCTAATGTTTTAGGTCTATTCCAGATTAAATTCATCATTGCCATTATTTCCCAATTATGAATTATTCATCTGGCAATATGGAACAAAACAGACTACTCTTTTGATAAGACAAAAATTACTTTTGCTTAAAATAACACCTTGAATGATATTGAGTTTTGGAAAGAAAAAAAAAACATCTGCCCTAAATTAAAAATAAAGATTTTAGGAAGAGCATTTTTTGCCTTAAAAGCATTATCTTCTACAAATACCTTTGTCACCCCTCCCCTTTTGTCAAAACGTGATATATTTGGGTAGCAAGTATTCATCCAAACATTTATTGTTCATTCTATTTAATCAAACTAGCTTATACATATATATATATATATATGTATGTATGTATGTATGTATATGCGTGTGTGTGTGTTCAACAAATATTTTTAAAGTACTTCAAAATGTATATGATTTGGCTTTGTAGGTGAAAAAACAAGTGAGATATTGATATTTAAACTTTGTGACTATTTTCCAAAATTCACTTTTTGGCAAGGGTCAAAGCATTATATCTTGGGAACCCTTTGACCTAGAGATGTAAAATATGTACCATTCAATTTCTATCATGAAGCTCTATAAGTGTACCAAATTTGAAAAAAAATTATGTTGGTGATGGTCATATGCTAGTTGGTTTCATATGGAATGACTCTACTGATGTCTTTCAGGACAGTGGCATAGTGGATATAGGACTTGGTAAAACATGTTACCATGATCTAGTGGTTGAGTTCTATCCCTGGTTTAGGCCAAAGAGCTGAGTTCCAATTTCAGTTTTAAGTCCGTTCTACTCACTTACACGTAAATACCCATGGAAAAGGCATGAAACCACCTGTTACCCCCAAAGTAGAACTTAATTATTAGGACTTGTATCGATAAATCATTATTACCTCCCTACTCCCCTGTCATTACAATCTAAAAATATTTTCTGGTTTTAAATGAACCTTGTTGATAAGCAATAAAAACAAAACCAATCAATCAATCAATCAAACCCTGGATCAGGCAGAGAAACAATGATTCAGCAGGAGCAAAAATAAGTGGAAAAATAACACAATACTCAACAGATATTACATATCAGCCAAAGAATGAATACCTGATGATGACAAGAGGGTATTTGGTAGAAATGTTGTGTCTATAAAAATTAATTAATTAAATTAATTAAATAGCTTGAAATAGTTAAAGTATATTGGACTTTTGTTTTTTTTTTTTTACTAAAAGGCTACATAGATTGTTGTCATGTTTTGTTGAACCACAGTAATAAATTTGGATTCTACTACAATTTATTCAACAATAACTGATTTCAAACATGAGTGATTGATCGATTCGTTTTCTATGGCTTATCAACCCTTTGCAGGTTATTTAAAGCCAGAAATATTTTTAAATTGTAAGATTATGATTTACTGATAAAAGTCTTTAATTAACACATAGCTAGGGGAAGAAGAGGTGGATTCATACATTTCCCAAAAGTATTTGCTCATAAATGAATATGACGAACCCAAATGGAATTGGAACTTGGCTCTCCATTTAACAATTCCAATCCATTATACCACCTGCACATCCAAACTTACAGCAGCTGGTATTTCCAAGTGGTCACCCATCTAGGTACTGACCAGGCTTGATGTTGCTTAACTTCAATGATCATAAGGGGAACCTGTGTTTCAACGTGATGTGGCTGTAAATGAAACTTCTGATTGTGAAACTTATGACATGCTGTGTTTTCTGTAGAACTTAAATGAATAAAGCCTAAAAGCCAGAGGGTGTTGACTTCAATGTCCATATATATATATATATATATATATATATATATATATAGATAGATAAGCAAATATATGGATATAGATCCGACAGCACAAAGAAAAATATATGGAAAAAACAAACAAAAATCCTTATATGCAATTATGCTGTTTTATGAATATGTCCTGAAGATGGCTTATTAGACTGAAACGTCCGACGTTGACATTATATTAACATTAAAACAGCATAATTGCATATAAGGATTTTTGTTTGTTTTTTCCATATATTTTTTTTATATATATATATATATATATATATATGGGTAGATTGGGCTCCTTAACTGTTGTTGACAATCAGCCTAGGAGAAGGATAACTCTGGACTCAAACCTGCAGAGGGCTGTTTAGTAACACAATAGCACAAGTTCTCTAATGTTTCCTTCTGAAGAAACATCTAATACAGGTTGAGTATTCTTTATCTGAAATTCCAAAATCCAAAAATCTTCAAAATGTGAAAGTTCTTTAGGTGCGGACATGACTTGCCACAAATGGAAAATTTCTGGTTCACGCTCACAGTGATGTTATCAATGATGTATCCTCTCCCTCCAGATTCTCACACCTGATGTAGAAGCAGTGTTTGGCATTGCATTTATACATTTTTTTGTATGAAGTGTTCATGTTTTTTGTACACGTACAAAAAGTACAAAACATTTCCAGACTTAAAAATCTGTGAGCGTCACATGACCAGCATCATTACCTGTATCTGTATGTACACAAAATTTATTAAATTTTATATAAAACTACTTTCAGAGTATATGTATAAGCTGTGTTATGAAATATAAAGAGATATCGTGTTTATACTTGGGTTCCATTTGCAAACTGCCCCATTTTATAGATGCTATACACAAATTAAATAGCCTGTATTCAAAAAAAAAAAAAAAAAAAAAAAATATCTGAAAACCAAAGCACTTATGGTCCCAAGAATTTCAGATAATAAATTTCAGATAAAGGATTCTCAATCTGAATTACCATTACTATTGTCCTACTCTTATATTTCATAACACAGAAATTTTCCATTTGTGGCAAGTCATGTCAGCACCTGAAGAACTTTCACATTTTGAAGATTTTTGGATTTTGGAATTTCAGATAAAGAATACTCAACCTGTTTTAGCTGTTTCTTCAGAAGGAAACATTAGTCTGAGTGTAAATAATGTAGACTCAAAATATTGGGGAAAATATTAGTCTTCCTATCTGAATTTTCTGATGAATCTTAATTCTTAAGTTAATGATTGAAAAAGCTCCTTGTGATTCCTACAACTATAAAATACCCATGTAAATCCTGCTTTAATAATTATTTGTATTTAACAACTTTCACAAAATATTACAATGACAAATCAAATATGAATACAGGTCATTATTTAAAGGTACAAATGAAAATATTCAAAATTGATAAAGTTTTCTAATTTCTTAAACACATGAGAGTGTTATCACTTTGTGTGTCTTCACTTTCCTTAAACCCAAACAACCTTTTCTTTCCAGCTATCTTCACAATCAAACAGGAATGGCAGAGTGTAATATATGTGTAAAGGAACAAGTAGAATCATAACACACACACACATATGTGTGTGTGCGTGTGTCAGATGCACAGTGGTAATAATATCACAGACGTTATATTTTTTTTATAAATCATTTCACCCTAAGTAAGGCAATAGAGCCACTAAGATTCAAGGTGTTACCAAGTGTGAAAGAATATCAGAAAAAGAAAAATATTATTAAGGAGAGATCAATAAAAGAACTGGAATCAAGAAGACAAACGATAATGGTTGCATTAAAATTTTTGAAGTTCACAGTTGACTGGAAGAAGCCGGAAGAGTGTTCCACAAGCAAGAAGTGCAAGAAGATGAAACTTAGCGCAAAACATACAGTTGCATCTAGCAATTTCAACTGTAAAATGATGAGACCAAGCTGCCATTCTAGTACTATATTTAAATTTGTACAATCAATGTACCAAAGAGGAAAGTTCATCAGAATAAATACCATAAAAATATTTATAGAGAAGGCACATAGAAGCTATGTTACTGAGGTGGGAAAGCGGTTGAAGCAGATATACCAGGTCAGGATGGATAACATTGCAGATTCTTCTTTGGATTTTATCAAGAATCTCTAAATACATAGCAGAAGCACCAGATCAGATGTGGCAGAAATATTCAGTACATAGAATATTTTCCTTTTTCGTCTGATACATATATATGTATTTATTTTTAATATACTACACTTTGTTACTAGAAAGACCTGAGACTGTAAAATCAATAGCCTTTAAGATCAGCATATTGACCACTAAATTACAAGAAAGATGCCAAAATCAAAATAAATATTCTGTCTATATTAAGAACACAGTCTGGGGCCACTTAGCTCTATTAATACTTTTCTATGATTGTTTTGTTTCAGTTCACAGCACACACATTTATTTTCTTACATGCTGCACATAAACAAAACCAGCTGTAGAGTAGTTAAGTAGGTTTCTTTTCCTCTAATGACAGTCCTTTCACTCTAGTATTGTTATTCCATGAAGTACATTTGCTGTGGCACATGTGACACTTGAGATAAGCAAGACAAATGACAATATTTATGAAGCATCCTGTTCCTTACACATGAAAACCACCAAACAAAACAATCACTACTACTACAGCAAATCTATCAATATTTGTCTAATATATATATATATATATCAAAGCAAAATACGAAAATGAAATTAAATGAATAAAGTAACTAATAAAAACAAAAACAGAATGTACCTAGCAACTGGAATGTAGAGAAACGCTATTTTCATATTTTTAACTGAAAAATAACGTCAGTATTTGTCACGTGTGGAGAATATCGTCATTATATCTGTGTTGATGTATTCAACCATTTTCTTTTGATTTTATGAATCTGTTGTGTATATTTGTTTGATAAAATCCACATTGGATGAAACGCGTCAGCAATTACCAGTTTTCCTATTGTCATTTTTATTCATAAATATTGTCTTCTCTACTGGTTAAATCAGAGAAATTTCATATATATATATATATATATATATATATATATATATATATATATATATATATATATATATAAAACAATATTATTAGTACAATAATATCAAAATCTGTTACCCAAGTTTCATGTAATAACCATCAGGTGGATAAAATACTTTTATTTTATCCGTGTGATGACAGTTAGTACATGAAACAGAAAAGTAATAGATTTTGATATTGTATTAATAATATTATTATAAAATTGATGTAATGGAATAACCTGTCATCCCCATGTGTGACTACACTATAGATAGTAGCTACCTATAAGTATCTGTAAGTCAACGGACTACAGAACCTAGCTGGGATCTGTTGAGTACAGCTCAGACTTACGCGAAAACTACTGACCTTCCAATAGTAGCACTCACTAGTGGATTGACTTGCGACGACCTTGTGCATAACCTTTATTCTTATTGTACTGATTTCTACAATAAACCTTTACTTACTTTATCCACCTTGTTTTTCAAGTATATATTCCTATTAGCACAGAATTTAACAAAAATATTATATTTAAGCACCACCGACTTAGGCATTGAGCTCTCAGTTTATTTTATATTTTAAGCTTTAGCTTTTATTCTTACTATTTATGTGCATATATAAACAAAAAATATGGTGACTTCCTTCATAGATTTCAACTTAACATCAGGGAGATAATTAGAGAACTTGAAAGGATTATTATAAAAATAAGTAGACCTGATATTATGTGCATATTACTTAATGAAACATGCTTGAATGAAGATATGCATATATATATATATATATATATATATATATATATATATATATATATAAATTATAAAAATAAAGAGAAAAGAACAGTAAGATTTATAATTCAGTGTTCTTATTAATTATTTTTATTTTAAAAAACAGTGCTCAATACAATTCTGCAGAGCATAAATATTATAAAGTGAAAATGAAAACAGTACTAGGATTTTAATTTAATTATATAATTAAATTTGAAGTTTTTTAGAACTTGGTAATTCCTGTGTAGCAATGGAAGCGCATTTTTAAATTAGTAAATTTATAATATATATATATATATATATATATATATATTTGTATATTATTATTATATACTAGCAATACTGGTAAAAATTTCATGGTTTTAAGTGAATTTTCTGATAAATCTTAATTCTCAAGCTAATGATTGAATAAGCTCCTCGCAAGTTCCATCAATAAAAAATACCTGTAGAAATTCCCCTATTGCATTGTTAAATATTTGAGCTTAACAATTTTAACAAAATATTGCAGTAACAATCATAAATTTTAATGCAGGTCTTATTTAAAGAAAGCCTATGTGGGGAAGTTTAAAAAATATTAAGCCCAAATCTAAGGGGGCCTTCGACCTAAGCTGTACTTCTCTTTTGGGAGGAGGCAGGGTTTATTTCTTGGCACAGGGGGGTTCCCCAACGAGGGAAGTGCTGAGAGGGCTTGGGCAATTTTTTCCATGGTATTACCGTTAATACAAATGGAAAGATTAATAATTGACAAGGTTTTCAATTTTACTGAAGCAAATGTTGAACCCATGACAGTGTTATCACCTCCTCTATCTTCCCTTTCTTTCTTTTCCTAAAACCAAAACAGCACCTTTGATATATATTTTACTCTGTTTTGTGAGCAGGGGACAGGCAAACTATTAAAGGGTGTATTTACTCACTAACTAAGGACTGAAGGAACAAGCAGAATTCTAAGACATGCATTGAATAATTTATTAAATTATTGACTACATATATATGTGTATGTATGTACTTAATAACAGTAATAATCAAGCCCCAATGAGCAGTGCTATGAAGAACTTTAGAGTCACTCAAGAGCTAATTTGTTTGAACATTTAGTATTTTATTGACTATATATTTATTTTAAATAAAGTATATTTAAGTACTAAGTATCCATCCAAACAAGTTTTATTAACTTCAACTGATAAATTATGCCTGTTTACTATATTTTTTTTCCAATTTCAATATCAGTGATTTTTTCCAACCATAGCTTAGATGTGGCACAAGGCTGAAAGTATTGGGCATCCTGTGAAGATCGAACTCACTACTCAGTTGTAATTGTGCTAGCGAGACAAGCTTGCTAATCATTACACCGCCTTCAAGTGCCCAAATTTCAATATCAGTGGAAGAAATAAACTAATTACTTTGACAAATGTTTACTAATTCCTTAACCCATGACTGTTTTAAATTGAATGTGCAGTCATACTGAGTATGGATCTGAAGCTAAAACATACAACAACTTAGTAATGTATATAAGTGTAACATTGTAAGTCTATTATAAAGTTATAATTTAATTAAAAAAATTTGAACAAGGGAGGTAACTTTGAGATTTCAAATATATTGTGTGTGTGTGCGCGCGTATGTATGTGTATATATACATATATACATATATACATATACATATACATATATACATATATATACATATATATATATACATATATATATATATATATATATATATATATATATATATATATATATATATATATATATATATATATAGAGAGAGAGAGAGAGAGAGAGAGACCCACATATATATATATATATATATATATATATATATACATATATATATTGGTCACCCTAAAAATCATGGCATGATGACAAAAGGCCTCTAACTCAATAAAAACAAAGTTTTGCCATTAAATCGTTTATGTTATTATTAAGAGGAAAGACCAAAATACTTTTTATTATTATTATTTTTTGAAAATTTTTACTTTTTGTAGCATGTTCGAAATTTTGGTTAAATTTTTTTTTTTTTCTGTCAGTGGTGGACCAAAGATAAGGTTAGTTTTTTTTGTTTTTTCCTGTGAAAAACACATAGATTTGGAAATTCTTTCAAAAATCAAATAATTATGGGATTTTAATGTAACTTTCAGAACATATCCAGAAATGAGTGAAATCTAAATTTTTTTTTTTTTAAAAAAAGAAAAAGAAAAACTTGGTAAAAAAATTTTTTTTTTTTTTTCCATATACATTTAATTTAATTTCATGAAATTCCGAGAAATGAAATATTTAAGGACAGAGATTTTTTTTTTTTAGTTATAAGGAGGATTCCTTGGAGATAGTAAATCATCAAATTTTTTTGTAAAACATTTAACCCATGCACTGAACATTTGCTCTGAATTGCAAAATAATAATTGCAATAAAGCTATGACATTATTTAATTAGAAAAGCTTTTAATTGCTTTGATAAATAAGATTTATTAAGGATACTATTGTCTTAAGAAAATGTTTTGATGAATAAATTTTTACAAGAATTGCTTTTATTTTTTTAAAATTTTAATTCAATAATTTATAATATTAAAAAATCATTTAAAATTCTGCATTGCTTGAAGCTGTTGGTTTGTTGATATTGTTAAGTCAATCAAAAATTGCAAAACTCATAACATTTGTTTGCAACCCAATATTTTTAAAATAAATTAAAAAAAATTTAGTGTTTAAGCATTCCCAATTTCTACCTATGAGAGCCTATACATGACATAATCCTTAAAAGAATAAATATTGCTAAGGGTATTGGGTTAAAATAATAAAAGTTTAAACAATTATGTAATTAATAATAAAATTTAAAGTACTATAAAAATTTAATAATAAAATAACCATTATGATAACAATTAATAATAAATAAAATACCGTAACATTTCATAAATTATTGATTTTTAGCTCTATCATGGTATTTTATGTCAGTTATTAAATTTTAAAATTAATCTCAGAAAATTTTATATTCTTTTAAATTTCATTAGTTTTTTTGTAAAGTATCTTCAAATTTAAATAAGTCAATAAAATATTAGATAATTACTGAAAATATTATGTTAATTTGTAAAAATTACAAGGTTGTTAAAAATAAAAAAAAAATGTGTTCATTTAGATTTCGTAAAATTTATGTCAATTTTGGTTATCCAGACTAGTTGTCATCACCTTGTAACTTATCAGTTATGTTGATAACATCAATAAAGATGTGATCAAAAGAGGAGTCATCGTCAAGAAATGCTGGTATACTATATTTTTCATGCTATAAGTAACTAATATTTGTTTCAAATCGGATTAATTTAACTTTAAATTTGCTAATTTTATTCGATGTGTCACAAATATATTATTTAATTTTTGAAGATTTTTCAAATTGAAAATTTTGTTTTGTTTACAAATTTATTAAAATTAAAAAAATGGTCACTTTTAAGAAAATTTACTTAAATTGTCTGAAAAGTTGAGATTCCAATCTATATAATTATTTAAAATACACCTGAATATTTTACTTACTGGAAACAGTAAATTTAATCATTTAGCTTTCAATTAAAGCTAAAATGAAATCTTCAAGAATGCTTTTCCATTTTTAAAAATTAATTTTAAACCTTAGGTATCAAAAAGTCAGTAGAGATCCCTATATATATATATATGAAATTTTTATATATATTATTTATATATTATATATGTGCAGTACTTATTGAAAAGTGCTCAATACCAGTGATTGAGCTAACATATTTAGTTGGATTGATGCGAGTTTGTGACGCTGGGTTCCATGCCCTTTGCAACTGTCAAAAAACTGCCGATCGCAAAGAGCCTGAAACCCAGGGTCACAAACTCACATCAACTATATATATATATATATATATATATATATATATATATATATATATATATATATATATATATATATATACATACACACATACACACACTCAGCTTAATACAGAAGTAAAAAAAAAAACAACAACAAAAAAAAAAACGGACATTAATTGTTTTTACTGCAATGAAATCATAGTTTGTAATATAGTCATAGCTTAATAATGCGTTCTCAAAGTACACCTTATTGAAAGATAATAATTTTCATAAAAATCATCTATAACTTTCATGAAGAAGGTACATAAGCAATTTTCACTTCTACGTTTGAATTAAATTTAGTACGTGCTTAGTTGTAAATGTTTGTCTGTATAGTTAGGAATATCAGTGTACATGCCTTTTTCATAAGCATTCAACAGTTGATCAACTTGAAAGTGGACTGCAAGTTTCAAATGCTGGCAAGTAACCACTGTACCCTTTTATAATATGAAGATTAACTTAAGTTAGGAAAAGATAAAATAGATGCAGTTGTAAATTTTATGAAAATATTTTTGATAATTTATATACTGACCTTGAAGATTTTCAAAAAAGGTTTCATCTATTTCATCTCTGTTTTTCTTTCTTTTTTTCTTCTCTCTTACTTGTGTCAGTTCTTCATCACAATGTGGTGTATAAAACTCCTTCAACTTCGGTGTCTCCCCTGTAAAGATAGGAGGGAGAAATTAGTATTAAATAATAATAAAAAAAATGTTATTATTATAAAATGAATTGGATGTAGGCAATTACTTAAATGTGTAAAATAATAACGAGGAAAATTTTTTTTTCAATATAATCTTTCTTTGGTAATGCAATTAATTCAGTGGTGAATATTAATCACATAGATGAAACATGTTGAAAATTTCAGATCAAATTTCAGTTTTTTTTTTTTGTTAAACCAATACATCTTTAAGCCATTATAAATATTTCAATATCTGACATTATTGTAATCTTTATGTAAAAATTAGCAGCCTTTTAATTTCCAGAATTATGAAAATTTAAAGGAAATGCACATACTTTAAATGTTCCTGCAAAGGTAATTGTTAAAAGAAAAAGAAGAAAAATCTTATAGCAATCCATTTAAAAAAAAAAAAAAAAAAAATTAAAAAAAAATTTTTTTTTTTCCTATACAAACCTTGAACGGATTTCAAAAGGTTTTCCTCTAGGCTGTGTCTGCTTCTTTTTCTTTTCTTTTTTTTCTCACTACAAACCTCTTCCATTGTAACAGAACTTGGTAGATAAGATTCAGATACTGTTTCTGTAAAGAGAGGAAGGATAAATTAACAGGAAATTAAAAAAATTAAACTAGAATGTAATAATGTAAGAAACTTAGAAAATTTTTTACTTAAAGTTTGATGAGAATAAAATCAAATCAGTAATGAATTTTTAATTACCAATATTTTTGCTAGCTTTAAGTAGCTGCATGCAGTTTTTGTTGTTTTTCTTCAATTTTGTATTTTAAAGTTTCTTTCAAATTTGTCTAGCAGATTATCAATATATATGATAGGAATTCCAAATTTATGCAATTACCTTAAAAAATTATGGACACAGATTAAACCCTTTAAAAATTTATCTACCTACCAAAAAAAAAAAAAAAAATTTATCAAGTTCAGAACAATAAACAACCTTGATCTAAATTATCTATGTATAATTTTTTTTTTTTTTTTTTTTAGGTCATTTCATCCCAACCAAGGTAATAAAACCACCAAGGTGTAAGGGGTTACTGGGTGTGAAAGAATAATAGAAAAAGAAAAGCATTATTAAGGAGAGAGAACAACAAAAGAACAGGAATTAAGAAAACAGAAGATAACGATTCTAAATTTTTGAAGGTCTAAGTTGACTGGAAAGCAAAAGGCCAAAATAGAGTTTTACAAGAAAAGTGCAAGAGAAGAAATTGTTAGCATAGAACTCACAGTTACATTTAACAATTTCAACTGTAAAATGATGAGACCTAACTGCTAATCTAGTACCATTTTTAAATTCATAAGACGTAGATACCAAAGAGGAAAGCTCATCAGAACAATTATGAAGATATTTATAGAAAAGGCACAGTGAAGCTACGTTATGGGAAAGTGACAGAAGCTAAGATGTCAGGTCAGGACTGATAACATTGCAGTCCTGTTTTGAAAGTCTGTTCTGACATCCCATGAGACACAATTTACCAGTATTGTTTTTTTTTCGTGTTAACCATGATGCTTAAGTCATGAAAACACTTTATTAAACAAGAATCTAAAATTCTTAAGAGTATAATATGTATAATTATATAATAAAAATGCAAACCTTTCCTAGTTTGGGGTTTGTAAATTAAAGTAATCCTATATATGGATCAATGGTTCATTTGCTAACTTTTTATTAAATATCTTACTTATTATAAAAACATGGTTGTGTGTGTGTGTGTGTGTGTGTGTGTGTCTGTAACGTTTATGTTGGATCAATTTCCTACATTTTTGGCGATTTCAACAAAACTTCACAGGACTACATAAAATTACCTTTTGGTGGTTCTAACGGTGCCAAAAAAATGGAAAAAACACAGTTGTTTTTTAAGAAAATCAATTTGAAAACATGATTAAGAAGACACATCGTGAGAATGAAAGGGGGACAACTCACCCACATGAAAACAAACAAAAGAGCATAGCATGATGAAAAAAGGCGGCGAACTTGATGAAAAACAAAAATTTTATCGTCTAATGTTCATATTATTATTAAAGAGGAAAGATCAAAGTATTTTTGGGTATTTTTTTTTACATTTTTAATCGTTCCTAGCATGTCTGAAATTTTGGATTAAAAATATTTTTTTTTTTGGTCAAAAAAATGGACAGATAATCATTTTCAATCATTTTTTTTTTCGATTTGATAAAAAAGATTAAAATCTTACTTTGATATTCTTTTAAAAATCAATTATCATTTTTTCAAAACTGATTTTAAGAAAAACAGATATTATACTGTTTATTTAAAATATTTTGAACCAAGCTTAACTTAGCTTCTCTTGAAAAAATGTAATTTGAAAATAAAGCGAAGCAGGTCATAACCTTTCGCGTAAACAGCGATTGACGAAAGGCACATTCATGACGTTTAGATAACTTACGGGAGGGTAATTCTTTCTACGGATGGAAGGAAGTGAAATTATTTAAGTGAACAAATTATTTATCTTGTTACTTTTAAGGAAAACTTTCAGCTCTAATTTTTTATTTTTTTATTTATTTTTTTTTTTTGTACTTAGCTTTCATTTTACGTTTCACGATGCTTTATGGAAAATATAAAAAATTAAAAATAAGACTGTTAATAGTGAGATTAAATTTCATAAGAAAAAAGGTATTTAATTTAGGTACCTTTCTTATGAAATTTTATCAGAAGTGTACATAAAATACTATAATTTTATGTACATTTATTTCATTTTACTGTGTTATTTGTATTTCCATTCATTTTATTATTAATTTTGATATTTCATTTATGGAAAAATGTCATAACTGAGATTAATATAAAAATAAGATCATATAAATTAAAAGTTTAGCAGTAGTTAAATTTCATAAGATGATACTGTTACTTGTAGGTACCTTCTCAGTTGAAATTGAAAACTCAAATTAACTTCTCCATACATGTTTACTTAAAAAGTAAAAGGGCTTAACAGCGGAGAACAATGCTGAACTCAAATAATGCAACTAAATTGTATTCTGGTTGGTCTTCCATACTTGATAATTACTGTCTGACTATAAACACAAAAATTACATTTCTTAATTACCATGGCTAATCTGATTGGTCCAAATTATACAATTTTCAAAGCGCTAGACAATGACAATCTCACACGGACATTTTGAAAGGTTGAAATGAGTATATTAATAACCAAACATCGGAAGACTAATTTTGTGAAGTGAAATGGATCCCTCATTACCATCAGAGCTGTTTAACCATTTAGCATTCAACCTGCCCCATAAATATTGGGCCTCAATGTTCAACCCGCTGGAACCTACCCCATGTATACTCTGTCATAATTTATAACATCACCATCATCACAAATAATGCAGGAAGTCATGCAAACGGTGAGGGTAGATATTTACAGGGCAAGTTTGTGCATGTTGAATGCCCAAGGATTAATGTGAAAGAGAAAAGAAAAAAAAAGTTTGTTTTTATTTATTTTACTCTTGACACACAGTCATCTTTGTAGTTTAAACAAGTAGGTGCTGAAAAGTTCTGGGTTTGACAGGCAAAGGATTCTAAAAGGGAATTCTGTTTGGTTATATTTTAGGAAATGAACTTTTCACAACTTTTCAGCACCTCTCTGTACCTATCTTGTTTCTGTTTGTCACACAACCCAACTGTCAATATGTTTGTTACATTTATGGGTAAGGCATGAACATGAACAAGGCTCTCTACAAATGTATAAATTATTTTAAATACTTATGTCAGTACATTTGAGTGTCTGCATGTGTTTGCGTGTATAAGGACAAAAAGGAAGACTTTCCTTTACCAATGCGTTTTGTCCCATGAGGGATTTTATCAAGGTAAATGTAAGAATTCTATTTTGCAACATGTATTTATAAACAGAAGTGGAGGAAAAATATTAAGTTTACAAAATTTTTAAGTTTAAGAATATCCTTAAAGCTGTCTAAGTAAAGGTAAATTATAAAGGACATTAAATGATGTAATACCTAATAAACGAAAGTGAGTAAATGCTGCTATTGACTTTTTATTTTCTTATTTGTTTAATATAATTATTATTTATTATTTTAATTTGATAAATTATTTATGTATTTATTTTGAATAAAAGAAGGTCTTCAGTTAGCAGTTTTCTTTTAATTAAAAAATATATGTTATGGTCATCTATGTTGGCTTGGGAAAGAAGTATTTCTTTTAAGAAAAGAGATATTTGAAAAAATCCAGGGCGTAAGTTAACATTTTGGCAAGAATAGATAGTTGCACTCTCAAGAACCTTCTAAGTTATTTTCTCTTTCAATAAATGTGACATTCTTGAGAGCAAAGTTGTGGTTAAATTTATTTCTGTGCATTTGATAAATTGTTATGTAGAAGATCCATTTTTGTGTCCATAAATATTTTTTTTTTTTAAATTTCTGTAAGTTTCACCAATATGCCGTAGGGAACAGTTTTGACAGTTTATTTTATATATATCTGCTTCAGAAATACTTTGATTGTACTTCTTCAGGTGATGGTAAGTAACTGGTGATTAAGTGATTTTTAAGAAAATTTAAAAACAAAGTGTTACCTCTTTTCTGAAAGTTAAAGGGGGCGAACATAAGGTCAGAATTAGACTTGTGGGTATGTCTTGATTAACCAATTAAATGTCAGATCTACTCTAAATAAAAAAGTAAGCTCAGAGGTTGAAGTTTTCGTTATTTTTGTCATGCTATGATAAACTGGAACATAGACAGGCCATCATTGACAATTGCAGAAAATATATCAGTGTCAAATGTATCATGATTGTAGACAAATATGACATTCAATTTTTTGAAAGAATGTTGAAGGGTAGGTTAATCAGACGTAAAGTTATCAAAAAATTTTTTAAAAAAGGTTTAGATTCAGGAAGCTTTTTATAGGGCCTGTAGATAAAATTAAAGATGTGAAACATCTATATAAGATATTAACAATACTACTAACTGGATGGCAATACATAGCAATATTAAAGCTGAATAAACAAAATAAGATAATTACCTGTAGAGGGTGAACCATTATATACTAATAAATTATGGCTATAAGAAATGGTAATATGTAATTTTAAAAATTTAACTATCTTTTAAGGTAAAAGATAAACTGTGTGAGGAATTTACAGTTAATTCACACCTTTGGTCTAATAGGGATTTTTTTATCAGCAAATTTGATAATTTCTAATTTTTCATGTAAACATAAGAAGCATGGTTCATTTAAAGATTTACAAGTTCTAGTTTTTTTAGTATTTTCCATTTTTACCTTTTATTTAGAAAGGGACGTCCTATTTCTGTATGCGTTATTGGAGAAAGATAATATATATTGGTACCACTTAGTTTTAAAGGAATTGTGGGTACTCCTGATATAAAGTTTTTTTTAACTAATTTCTATAGTAGAAAAAGTGCTTAGGTAAACAAGAGATATCGATTTTGCAATGGACATTCATTAGAATTTCTACAATTATGCTTGTTGTTGTTGTCTGCATTTGTTGCTTTGGAATGGCTATTGCTACTCAGGTTTTTGTATTGATTTAAAATTTTATTATTGTTTTTTTCTAATAATTTTTTTAAGATTATCAATACAGCTATAGCTTAGTTTCAGTGTATTTCTGTTAAAAATACTACTAAGTGGATTATTTCTGGGGAAGTGTTTCTCAGTTAAATAGAGAAACTTCTGTCCTAACTTAGTAATAACCATTTGGTTAAATGGGGGTGTGTACCAAATGATTTTTCTGTTTCTATTTTTATTTCTATGATCGCTGTTGTTATGTTTTTATATATTTGATGTTTTTAAAGCATTGTTATAAACTTTACTATGCTTGTAAAAGACATCTTCATTGGAAGAGTTATTGCTAAGCCTATATCCTATGGTGGAGGGTATGTGATTTTATTATGGATGGAGGGTGGTTAGAATTTGGGTGGCTATATATTGGATTGGAATTTCTTTTCATGTAGGGTTGGAATAAATTATTAACTAGGTCTAATTTAACATCAAGGAAATCTCCTTTTTTTAAATTAATGTTGGTCTTAAATTTAAGGTTGAGACTTTTAAGTTCTCTATATAATAATTTCCTGATTTTGTCAGCTTTAATTTTTGTGGAATTTTCACCACCATGAGGCCATCATTTCTACATAACCCTATATTATCAATGTTGATATCTTGGTAAATAAACCAACAAGGTCGGAAGTCTCAGTCTAATGATCCCATAGAAATATTTGTTGTTCTTAATCCATTCTTCTTTGTTATGGATAAGAACAGATCTACTACAGTTCATAATAATGTCAAGCCCCTCACTGGAAAAAAAATATATATATATATAATGTTATAATGTTGAGTTCATCACACCTATTTTATAGCTGTGTGGACATTTGCTTTTATAATTGAGGAGACATTAATATTTACTAGCATTTTTTTTTATATATTGAAGTGATAAAATCATTAACATATACTAGAATGACCAGGAAAGGGATTCTATTTTTAATGTTGAGTTCATAACACTTATTTTATATCTATACCTATATATTACAAAAAATAAAATAAATAAATAAAACACAAGTAAAAATTCATGTCTCCTTTATTATAAAAGCGAATGTCAACACACAGACAGAGCCTGTATATTATTTGCAATACTCCAGAGAGGAACTATTTAAAAATGTTCATATTTGTTTATGGAAATTGTCACTTATCTTCACTTAGATACAATGAATAGAATCTTTCAACATTAGATTCATTTAGTTAAAATAGTATTTTTAGTTATATAGTTATTTCTTAAATAAAAACTGGTAAATAAATAAAGATTTTGCTTTACTTATTGAAAAAAAATATATACATAAATGAAGTTGAAACATTACAAATAGATTAAAGAGCATAAAATTCAGTCATTAAAAGCAAGTTATTTTCTGGATAGACAATTGTAAAAGAATTAGCAGGAACTCACCTGATGCCTGGAATGACAATACAGAACCACTGCAAGTCATCTCACCAACAGACACGGTACTTTCATCAAGATCTTTTTCCCTATTTTTCTTCCTCTTTTTCTTTAAATGGGGCTCTTCAGATTCCATCTGGCTCACTTGGGAGGCATCAAAGTCAGACATTGGAAGAGATACTGCAAAGCAAATAATAATCAGGCATGAAATCCAACAGTTCCTTCTATAACAAACAGCAGTACTCGGCATTGACAAAGATCATTTTTTTTTATTTTTTTTATTATAACTACAAGTCAACCTACTTATAGAAAAAAAAATATTAGCCTATATTTGCATTTAAAATTTCAAGAAAAGAAAATAGAGAATTCTGTTAGTTTTGTATCAGGAACCTTAGCAACACACTATCCTCCCCCCTCCTAAAACATAGCCTCTGTTCTTGCAATTTTCATGACAAATGTATTGAGCAACAGTAAAACTTGATTTTATAGCCTGAAATTTCCCACTTAAATGTCATCCATATTATCATCACATCTATATTTTTTAGTCATTTCACCCCCACCAAAGCAATAAAAGCTACTAAGATGCAAGGAGTTACTGAAGTGAAAGAAACCAAGAAAACAATTATTGATTTAGAAAGAGTAATAAAATAACTGGATTGATGGAGACAGATGTGAACGATTAACATTGCATTTGAATTTTTGAAGATTGTAGTTGACAAGAAAGCAAGTAACCAGAAGAGAGTTTCACAAGTGAGAAATGTGAGTGATGAAACTATTAGCAAAGAACATGGTTACATCCAGTAATTTCAATAGTGAAATTATGAGACCTAGCTACTAATCTAGTACTATGCTTAATTGTGTGAAGTCAGGGTACCATAGAAGAAAGCCGATTAGAACAACTACAACTTGCTCTCCTGGAAGATAGTATCAGCCAGGCATAAAATGTTAAGATGATTAAAAGAGAGTGGTTTCATTTTGGAGGTGTTAAAATTAACAAGTTATTTCTTTCACCTATTGGTAACCATATTTGAGCTGATATTATATTCAACTTAATTCCTAGAAACAGCCTATTCCATTTTAATGAAAACAGGTCTCAGCTCCAAATTCTATTTGCTAGAATAAGGCTAAATACATTTACAATTATTTATCATTAACACACATAAGATAGTTGGGTAGCTCCCAACAGTTCAGTAGATATTCACATACATATAATCCTGAAAATATATTATATATATATATATATATATATATATATATATAGACATTTTTATGTTTATACCAAGAAATGTCTTAAAATAATTGTTGGACTGTCCATTTCATATATATATATATATATATATATATATATTTTTTATTATCAATATTAAATTGGAGTAAAATTTTTTTAATACTAAGAAACTCTAGAGCCAGGATGCTGAAGGTAACATCGATCAGCTATGTCAAGTTTTATATTTTTAATCATATATATATATATATATATATATATATATATATATATATATATATATATATATATATATATATATATATATATATATATATATATATATACATACATACACACACAGTACATATGAGATAAATAGACACTCTCACCTGAAGAAGGAAAATGTGACAAAAGAAGCAAACAAGAAAAACTGCATGAAGTACCTATCTTAAAAAAAAATTAAACTGACAACATAAATAACAAAAAATTCTTTGAAAATGGATAGTGTTAGCTGAAAGTACTTAGACATAGAAAAATAAATTTACAAATATGAATGAAAAATCAAAAAGTAAATTTGAAGCCTGGGAAAAGAAAAATAGATAAATAAACAAGACTTTTGTTGGGTTTTAATTAAATTTGTTTAAAATTAAAGGTCTTGCTCAAATACTCTCTATATATCTTCTACTCCATCAGTATAATTCACATATCCACTTTTAGTCCTGCTAATCAATTTGAGGTTTGCTCTTAATGGAAATAATTCATGCAGAAAAATTCAGGATTAAAAAAAAAAAATCTAATTTTTTTTTAAAGACTTTGGCATAAATTCTGATAGATTATCCACAAAATCTATTTTTTCACAGCCACAACTGTTTATGAGGAAAAAGAACAGGTATGGAGGAAAGTCTAAAAAATTTCGAAAATGTCAGTCAGTCAGTTATGTGCCACATGTGATACATGTTTAGGCGATCATGTATCTTTTGATACATGACTGACTAGGCAGATTTTTCCTGCAGTAGGCTGCCATTTCTTTCTGCAGTAGACCAGTTGCCATCCAAGGCTATAGAACCAGGTCTTTCCTGCTATTTACCCATAGCTGGGGGGAGGAGAAGAAGAGGATTCATACCTTTACCAGGGGTACTAGCACATAAGTGAATGTAATGGATTTGACTGGAATTTGAACTCTGTTCTCAGATTCCTTAATCCACGCCACTAGCCATTACTCCACCGTAATGATGGAAATGCTTGGATATACTGACAAAAAAAAAAAAGTTAACTGTTTTCACAAACTGTAATAAGTTCCAGCCTCAGCACTTGTTTCACAAATAGAGTTGTTTGCAAATCAAGTATTTACAAATTTAGGAACATGATCACACTGAAGTCCAACTAAATTATAACTGTTAAAACATTTAATTTATTCTGTTATATTTTTTTCTCAGGCCAGAAGGCTAAAAATAATGTTATCAAAACTTATTAGAAATAAGATGATGAATATCAGTTTCAACATAGCCTCAAGTTGGACTTAAATGAAATTTTGACACAATTTAATGGAGCTGAAAGAATTCAAATATTCTTACATAATTCTGAACTTCTTTTTCGTTTCTTTGACTTTGTTTTGACAATCTGACTGCTGGAAATTCTTGGTGGTGAGCCTGAAAAATAATGATCAATAATAAACATTATCAAAAATTATTCTTACAATTTTTACTGATCAAATAATTTCTTTTGTCACAGACATTTTAGCACATAATTAACAATTTCATGATAGAAAATATGTTTACAAATTTAATAATGTTAAAGAATCAATTTGGTACTTTATAGTGAGGTTGGTCAAAATTGAAATTAGTGAAAAGAACCAGCAATGATTAGAACTTTATAATATTACTTGCATTGCCTTTTTTTTAATGAGAATCAGGCATTCTAGCTATCTGAAGATAGTGAGAGCTTGAAACTTAATGATTGAAGCTGTCCTTTATTGAATGTCAATGTTGTGAAGTGTTTTTTTGCTCAGGCTACTTGTTGAGCACTTTAGTAGGTAGATGTTTGCCTTTTGTTTTTTTCTTTTCTTATTTGGGATTTTTTCTTTTATATAACATTAGGTTGTCTAGCAAGTTGTCTATTGGTTACATCAATATTGTTTTTATAGTGTGTGTGTGTGTGTGTATATATATATATATATATATTTATTTCAGTGGCAACTATGGGGGTTGGGAGTGTTGGGCTTAGACCAAGTGAGTTAACATTCAAGTATATCTATTTCAAAGCATCAAAAATCTTTCATAGTGCATTGTTTTAATTCTTTGTTTCCGCTGGATCCAAAATTGTTTTAACTATGCCTCAAAATATTGACCAAAACACATTTTGTTGATATCGTTCATAATAAAGAAAGAAAAAAAACCCAAAAAAAACAAAGTAAGTAAAAAAAAGAATGAAATACAATTAACATGGCTAGTCAGGTTGCGTAGATTTGAGCCCTTACCAGACTAGAGACATACGTAATAAGCAATATAATTCTTGCTTTAATTTTATAAATCATCTTTTAAAAATTTCTAGTGACTTGTATGCCCTGTTTTTCAAAGAACACATTTTTATTTCAACTTATTCTTTTCAAAATGTCCATTTTAAATAACTTATTCCATAAAGTATAAGGTTTTATTTTAGTGGAATGTATCAACTGAAAAAGGGAAAATTAAATTTAGCCCTATTTAAAAACGGTGAAAATCAAAGAAAGGGGCAGCCTTAACTTATTGACTGGAGGGTTGTGGTGAAGAGTGTGGTAGTGTTGAGGAAATATGAAATATCAGTCAACTATGCCTATTTCTACCATCAGTAATTTGATAACCAGGCTATAAAACAAGAAATTGAAAGGGGGGCAATAAACAAAAATATCAAAGACTTTGTCTTCACTCATTTTTTCTTACATGCCTTGAATTTTTTTTTTTAATGAATGATTATTTTTGTAGAATTATTAAAATTAATGTTAAAATACCAAAATGTGTTTTTTTAAAAATGATGTATTTTAGTTAGAGTAAAGGAATCATTTTAGCATCTAAGCTATACCAATAGTATATTTCGTTAAAGATTGTAATGACCTGGAGTTGCCACTTTAGTGGACATTGAGTGGTGATAACCTGTGCCACGCTTGAGTGCAATCTTCAGGCCATGAATATTTTCAGCCTGAAGATTTTGATGAAGCATGAAACATACTCTCTTGGTGTTGATCTTAGTGTGCACTATTATATTTACATCTATCTCTGATATCAAGCACTTTTACCCATAAATATAGCATACCATAAAACTATATATATATATATATATATATACACACACACACATACATACATACACACACACTTAATAGAAATCATATAAGTATAAGAAACTATACTCGCTCAGAAAACCTTCGCTATATTGATTTGCAAATAAACAGGTAGGTTTGTCTGGCTCTCTATGTTTAACTATACATATATATATATGTGTGTGTGTGTGTGTGTGTGTGATGGGACAAATTGGAAAAGCTATTAATGATGCATATTGTTGAGAGTGTCTGCTCTCTCTGACTTCTTCAAGTTAAAATGAAAGAAAGACAAAACTGTATAAGATGAAAAATGCATTGAAAGCCCATAAATCAAATTATCTTATAGCCATGATGAAACCCCAGAGAGTGTGTCTGTCAGCCTTTATTGTTATTTGAGCACTATGGAGAAAGGGAATTTTTAAAACAGTGCTGCTCCTGCTTATGATGCATCACTATATATATATATATATATATATATATATATATATATATATATATATAATTCAATAAAGGTGCAATTAATTTACAAATTCATGAATTATTCATACAAAAAACAAATACAAAGGTTAATGATTTAATTGGCGAGAAATCTATATCGCGAACAATTCAAATAATATACAAAAACCCCGAACCTGTTTATGACTGAAAAGATCCTTGTTTCTATAAATTTCTGTTGCATAAGTTATTATTATTTTTACAAGCTTTTGTCTGTTCCTACAGACATCCTCAGGTATGGAATAGATTTTGTTCTTGTTTTTACTCTCAGTAATAAGAGGACAACGAAAATATATGTATTGTTGTAATCCAAAAAATGCTATTAGAAATGAGTTATTGTTTTTGGAGCGTGCAGTCGCAACGCTGAGCTTGAATTTAAATTTTACAATTTAATAGTTCTTATACAAATATGGTGATAAGTGAATTCTTTTTTACTGGTAAATTTTCTGTCAAAGTGGCATGAACTTTATTATAATAATAATAATAATTACAGTAATGTCGCACTTATTATTATTATTATTATATGAACTGAGCGCTCTGGCTGCTTATTTGGTGTTTATATACATCACGTACATAATATATTAAAAGATTTCCTTTCTCTGCCATGTGCTGATAGCTTAGGGATTGAGCCTCTGACTAATACCAATGCAGTTGAACATCTAACCACATTGATGAGCCATGATACAATGAAACAGTGGCGATATACATACATACATATATATATATATATATAAGAGTCATTTGGTGTCTGTTGGATGTTAAATCAGTTCACTGAAACTAGAGTGTATTTTATGTATATGATACAATTATACATCCTACACACATGCAGCAAAAGAATACATGTGATTATAATCTACTTTTGTTATTATTTTTAAAAATTTTAAATACAGTTTATTAATTTATAATAATGTTTTAAAAATACATTTTTTATTCAGTGTAGATATTTATCTAGATAAACAAAATAAGACACAAAGTCTTGTCCTCTACTTGTTAATTCAACTAGTGGTACAGTAAAAGGTTTTATTCTTGAGGGATATTTCATTATTCTAAGTTATTTTATAGAGAGAGAGAGAGGTGGCAGGGGAAGCAGTTTGACCTCATTTCTTTTTTAATTTTGAAAATGATACAAAACACTTTTTTATTACTTCTTAAAAATAGAAAGATAAGAGATAGATATGGCTGTAAAAAAAAAAATAAGAAGCTAAGAAGGCCGAGAGAAATGTTTTAATAGAGAAATAAGATTTGATAATAGGGAGATTAATGAAAGAAGTTAAAAAATAAAAAAACAAAAAATGTGAAAAAGAGGAAAGAAACAAAAAAAGTGTACAGGAACAAAAAAGGGGTGTGAAAACAAAACAATTTACATACGTGATCCATAAGGTATATATCTTTGTTTGAGGTTTGAAGGTATGTGGTATGTTTTTTCTTGAGGAAGAGTTGGATTGTCACATTTAGGTATTGCCACTGATTGAACAATATCTATGTAACCTTTGAAGGAAGGACCTGGAAAAATAAAATTTGAACAAGGTTTTGTAAACTAAAAATTTTACAAGTTGCATCAGAAAAGCTCAAAGGACAAGTTAATGAATCTTAGGTACCTCTACTGATTTAAAAAAAAAAAAAAAAAGAAAACCTGAAAAATGAATTTTAAATAATTTAAAATGACTTTGATGTTAAATTTTTGTTTCACTTTTATAAAAAGATAAAAGCTAATCTATAAAAAAAGAAAAAAAAAGCCCTTATTTTTAAAACACTGGTATAGTCACTCATTGAACCAGCATTATTGCCAGAAAATTAAAAAAATGGAATTGTCTTCAAAGTTATAAATCAACAACAACAGTCTTCTACTTCTTTTAAAGAAAAGGTGCAAAAAGTTAAGTATGAAGGACCAAAACTATTAAAATCTAGAAACTGGTATTATTTATATTTAAAAATAAATTATCTTTAACGGTATATTACCAAATAGTTTATAAATATATATTTTTTATTTGATAGGCTTTTATAAAACTTAGTAGAATGAATAATGTTATTTTTATATTATAATAGAAGTATGAAAAGTAATTAAGTTAAATGATACTTTTGATTCTTGCTCATTGCATTTCTTTTTTGAATATTTTCTTATCTATTTGATGTCATAAATGTTAATTGCACACAATTCTTTTTTTAAATTCTGATTATAAAATTTATTAAACTAAAAAAGAAATGCAACAAAAAGGAAAAAAAGTTATAAAGACTTATATTTAATTAATACTGTTGATTGCAAATCTAGAATCATTATTTCCTTTTTAAACTTCCACAGAAAAGAAAATCTGATTTCAAAAATTTAGAAAATGAAAAAAAAAAAATAAAAAATGTAGAGGTGGCGGCATCTGTGCTACATCTCCAAGAAGTCACTATGAAAATGGTCTTCTGAGATAAGAATTCCCAAAAGCACAATGTTAACACACATAACAAAGGATCTTGATTTAAAATTGTTTAAGCCATCATTCGTCAATGAACTAAGCAATAAAGACATGGACAAAAGACGTGTGGCATGTGGGCAGTTACTGGATTTATTTCCAACAATCCCAAAACATGGAAAGGTATTTTTCTCCAATGTATGTACGATTTATGGGAGTGGACAGGCTAGGAATATTTATTTCTGAAGCAAAGAAAATCTGCACTATTACAAAGATGTGGAGCGAAACCCTCCACATGTAATGAATTGCGTTGCCATATCGAGTAAACACTTCGAGGTTTCCATTAACCAGCTCTTTTACTTGGCTATGTTAAGTGAGTGGTTTGTTCCATAGCTCTAGATGTTGAATATTGACCCGAATGATTGTTGGTTTCAACAAGATGGTGCCCCACCTCAGTATGCAATCACAGTTAAGGAACGCCTAAATGATGTTTTCAGGGATAGATTAATGGGGCTTCGAATTGCAACAATTTCCAGTACCTGTTGATTAACCTTCTAGAATTCCATATCTCATGTCCTGTGATAATGCTTTATCAAGGAGAGAGTTTCACATGAATGATACCAGAATACCAATCAGTTGAAGGACACTGTTTGGAGAAACTTTGCAACAATGAACAAAGCACAGGTTTATAAAATACCACACAGAACATGGCACTGCATCATTTTGTGCCACAAAAACAGTATTCATACAAACATTCTCGATGTGTGACAGTGTCAATAAAAGTGAATAAACAGAATCCAGTACATGTGCTTTGTATTACTGTATTACTTGTATTGTTTTCATTACTTTTTGGTAGGGGATGATAAGACTTTCGAACCACCCTCTAGATTTAGTATTACTCACTGTTAACAAAAACTTACTAGAGAAATAATTTGCAATAAATTACACAACACTTATTTCAATTATTAACTGTATTACTTAGAATGTGCTACTTACATAAATAAATGTAAAAACAGTTTTAGTTGGCAATAATCATCATCATTTTTCAACCGCAGTTGTGATCATCGAGCCAATGTGAATGATCATTTCTTTTAGCTGTATATGCTATGCCAGGGCTATATACAGTTTTGAATTCAGAGTTACTTTCTCCTAGACTGGTTGCCACCCAAGGCTAAAAGAACCCAGTCTGTCCTGCTATTTACCCATAACTAGGGGGAGGAGAAGAGGGTTCATACCTTTCCCAAGGGTATCAGCATGTAAGTGAATGTAATGGATCCGACTTGAATTTGAACTCAGCTCTCTGATACCTCAATCTGAGTCACTATCCATTACTCTACCATGACAATAACATAAGTGACAGATAGCTATAAAAAGGCATTACTGATTATTTACTGCTAATTTGTTTCAATAATGCACTGACTATTGTTCGCGTCACATAAGAAGAATTGTAAGTAAAATGATGTGCTAAAATAAGTAACCAAGTAATTGTTTCAAGTTCTCTCAATATTGGTACTGATATGATTTCATAAGTCATATAAGATATAAGAAAATAATTGTTCAAACCATCCAGGGATTAATAAAATATACTTAAAAGAATTTAGATTAACAGTTTTTAACAAGATGTCTATATTTATTATTTCTTTTCTATATAATAGTAAACTGAAAATGTTTATGTGCAAAAACAAAACCTTGTTGAATAGTGAGAATAATTAAAGAACTCACCTATTTTCAATTTATTTTTTGATTTATGAGGGACTACAGCTTGAAGGCTTTGATGCTAAAAAAAAAAAAAAAAATCACAGCATGTATAAAAAAGAAGTATTTAAACAAGTCATAGAGCATAAAAAGATCATTTTAATAGATTTTTTAAAACAAAATGTAATTTCATTATCTTCAAAATGTAATTTGGTATATTGGAAATAGGTTTTTCAAACTGAAAACAGATTCCTCTGGATAGAATGAAAATGTTAATTGCTGCCTCTGAAAGACATTTGTGGTACTAGATTTTTCTAGCTGAGTTTTTGGCAGAAGACAAAAAATGCATATTCAGAATTTATACAGGAGCAGATCAATAAGTCTGTAGCCATTAAGTACTAACTAAATTTTGATCTGAAATTTTCAATATTTAATCTAGGAAATTAATTGTAAGGAGATTATGCTGATAAATAAATATAAAATTTGTCTGATTAATGAATAAAAATCCATCACTTCTTTAGAAATTGCTTTGTTTAGGATGCAAAATCAAGCAGATATGTATATTTTGAGAGTCTGGGAAAGATTTATGTTTAAAGACACTGTTCCACTTTGCTTGATCATCGTCACAATTCATGGCTGAAAGGATCTAATGATGGTTTCCCCTGCTGGGGCGTGCATATTTTCTTTAATAAGATTTCTTGAATATTCAGGCTTCCGAAGATACAGGAACCTACTAGTCTCTGCATATTCCTACAAGAACAGAAAAGATTTTCTAACGAACTGTATATATGAAAAAATCTTTCCATCGGAATCAAATTTATAAAATTTTTAGGAAGATGTTTTGAAAGCGTCACCCATTTGACGACAACGTGACCACGCTCAAACGGAAAGCCTATCATTTAAAATTTTCATTTATCTGTTTTGGATAAGACTTGTTTTTATGTCCATTGTTTTCGTCATGTTATACTGATTATGTTAATTGTATTTTTAATGAATATTGTCCTGAAGAAGGTTATTAAACCGAAACGTCACACATCGACATTTCATTCATATTAAAACAACATAATCGCATTTTAAGGATTTTTGTTTTGTTTTTCCAGATATTTTCTTCATATATATATATATATGTATGTATGTATGTCATGAAATAAAACCATAAATTTAAAAAAAAAATACACACACAAATATGAACTTACTTTATTTCAATGTTTCTATTTAACTGTTCATTTATTCAAATATTAACACTGTACCATTACTGCTCACACACACATGTATGCTGCAACAATATTTTGTGGAACGTTTAAGAGTATTGCATGGCACACTAGTGTGCCATGGCATGGTGGTTGAGAATCACTGCTATAGAGTGTAGATGATGGCATATAATAAACCTACCCAATCTTAGCAGGAAATATTAAGAAAAGTACAGTACTTCCTTGATTATCTGGATACCTTAGGACAAAGGTTGAAAAAAATATGTTCCGTTAATTCAAAATCCTGGATAATTGAATACTTAAATTATGAAAAGAAAAAAAAAAAAAAAAAAAAAAAAAAAAGAAGCCATTTTTTGAAAGAAATTTAACATAGGAAATAATAAATTTTCAAACGTTTGTTCAAGGTTTTGCCCAGTTTTATTTTTCATAAAATTTTAATGTGATTGAATTAGATTTTTGTTTTTATGATGAAAAGAAATTCAATTCTCAAATTTTGTTCTATTTGAAACAAAAAGAAATGGAGAATATTAAAAATAGAGATATCTTGTTTGAAAGATTTTTTTATTCAATAGAAATCTTTGAATGCCTGATAACACTTGTTAAAAATTTAATAAAACCGCCTGTATTTTATTGAAATAATGACTGAATTTAGAAGCTCCCTAGCAAAGTTAAAGAAAAGTAATATGTTGTTTGATTACAAATAAGTTTTGTATGCTTTAAAAAATAACTATTTTTGTTGCAAAAAGCTGAGGTCAAAATTATGCTCTAAGCTGTAAAATTGCAAAAAAAAAAAAAAAAAAACGAATAAATAAAGTATTGCTTTATTTATTTGGTAACTTTTTAATTATTTGAATTATGGGATGTAAATATAAAAAAATATTACTGCTAATAAAAACTATTAGCAGTAATATTTTTTATACATTTTAACAAAGATTTTCAATTGTTGAATTTTAAAAAATAAAAAAAAATGTTTAAAATTTTTTATCTTTTTCTTTCTATGCTTCATCATTCCTTAAATATTAAATAATAATGTTTGTTTAAATAATCAAGTCATAAAGGAAGCTATTTATAAGCATTATCTACCGTGACTTTTTTATTTAATGCGAAGATATGAATTTAACATGTATGGAGTCATTGTATGTAAATGCAATAACTAGATTAGTTTCCCTTTGACAACAGAAATACAAAAAAAAAAAAGGGAAAAAAGAAATGAATGAAAAAAAGAACAAAAAAGGGAAAAAGAAGGAAGAAAGAAAATGGGAAAAAAGGAGGAAACAGGAAAAAGAAAGAAAAAGAACAAGAAAAAAAAGAAACAAGTATTTTTACTTTTTCTTTTTATCTACAAGAAAATAAAACTAGAAAAAAGAAAGTTGAAAAGAAAAAAATGAAAAAGAAAGAAGTAAATAAAGAAAGGAAAAAAGAAGAAAAAAAGAGGAGATGTCAGAAATAAGTAAGGCAGCTGACATTTTTAAACAGGCTTCTTGAGAACAAACAATGGAAGTTTGAGTCTTGCTTGAGGTTGATTATTTCTAATCAGTGCTACTGATTAATAATTATAAAATGAGAGTTGTGATAAAAAGTAAATGAAAAAAATAATAGTAAAAAGATGAAAAAATAATAGTAGACATAAATGCTTTTAAGATTTATAAATAAATTTAAGATTTTCTTGCATTTACTATTCGAGATGTAGATTACAAGTGATACTTCCCTATTAAAAATATGTGTACTGTAACCAATTAGAAAAGTTTTATAAAAATTATAAAAATATTGTCCTAATGTACTTTTTTTTGAAAAAATAATTTCCTTAAAGAATTTTAACCATTATGGCAACACAAAAATAATGTTACCATTTTATAAGAGGCAAAAAAGAATTAGTGTAAATAAAACAAGACATACCATTGGATGGTTTTCAGTGGCAACTGCAACATATTCAGTATCAGACTGAAAAGGAGAAATAGAAAAGGCATAAATTATGAGGCAAACAAAATGTAAAATTTTTTGAAACTTCAAAATGACTTCTTTTTCTTCTCAGAATTGCTGTCTCCATTGGATTTCTTTTTATGGGGATATGTGTAAAGTAATATTTATTCAACTAAACCTCAATCTTTAGAGGAATTGCAAGCTAGGGTAATTGATGTGATTGAAGGTATTACTGAAAATCAGCTGCAAAATTTTTTCCAAGAACTACAGAATCATATTACCCTTTGTATGTGTAATAATGGTGGATATATTGAAAATTAATAATCCAAATAATAAATTTATATACTTCTTTCTTATTCTTTTTACATATTGTTTGTATCATGTACAGTTACAAAATACAAGCACCAGCTTGGAAACAAAACAGGAACTTGAGAGTGATCTACTGCTCTAGACACATAGCCATGGTGCAAGATGGGCTGGTCGTCCAGCAACCACCTACATTGACTAGATATGTTATGACACAGAATGTCACCCTAATGACTTTTCAACTTTGATTCAAGACTGTAATGATAGACTCATGAATGCCTGAGCTATGCAGCTCAATTGAATAAAAAATAAATAATAGTTACAAATCTACAAGTATTCTAAATTGCCCAAGGATTTTATGGACATCTTGTACAAGGCTAAAGATAATTTATTTTTTAAACAAATACCAATTTCTTGATTATTGCACTGCTGGTGTTTCATATTTCTTTAATTTAAAAAAAAATTCTTCATGTTCTCTATCATTTCAACCTCATCCTACAGAGGGCAGTGATCTCCCTTTTCCCTCCATACAGGGTCAGTTGCACCTGATTTTTCTATTTCCCCTCATGTTACAGCTTTATGGTGTTCCTACAGTCTTATCTTGAGGGTGCAACCTGTTTCTCCTTTATATTACTTACCATAGCTGCATAGGATGGCGTACACACAGTTCTTAATCATGTTCTCCTCTATAGGAGGTTTTACTTGGAAGAGGTGTCTATGAAATGTTGAACCACTTTTGAAGGTTGTCCAAATGTTATGTGAACCACAGATCTTTTGGTTTTTTCCGATAATCCCTTCACATAGGGTAGGCAGACTGAGGCTGTTTTCTGAGTATTGTTATTCTCTTGCACTCTCCTATTCCAATTTTGGAGCTGCTGTCATGTACCCAGGGTACTGCTTATACTGACCATTTCTTGTTCATATGTCTGTGTTGCCACTTACAACTTTTGCTTGATGTTGTAGGCAGCGGACAATCCCTTTCTTTATACTGGTGGTGGGAGTCAAAGTTGAGGTATTGTCTGATGATTGTTGGCTTATGGTATACGGATATCTCAAACAAGATATTAGTACATCCAGGAATGCTAGTTTGTTGTTGTTTTCTCTTGCCATTGTGAACTGTATTGATGATCTTATTGAGCTCACATGATCCAGTAATAGCTGGACCACTTTCTGGTGTTATGAAGGTGTTATCTACATATCTCAGCCATAGAGTTGGCTTTAGTGATGTTGATTCTAATGCAATTTCCTTAATGTATTCCATGTATATGTTAGCTATTGCTGGTGATAGTGGCGAGCCCATTGTTAAACCTTGATCCTGTCGATATATATCTAATCCCATTTTGAAGGGTGTTTGTGTACAGAAAGTCAGCATCTCTATCAGGTTATCTATTGGTATGATCTCCTAGGGATGAGTCCGGAGCCAGTCTGCCTCTGACTACCGATAGTGCTTACTCTGTGGGTACTTTAGTGAACAAACTCACCACATCCAAGCTCACCATCTGGTTGGATTGGAGTGGCACAGAGAGCTTCGGCAGCTAACAATCTGTCTGAGCAGAATAGTCTTTCTGAATTTTGAGGAGACCGTATATGTGAGGTAGCTTGCTGTAACGTGACAATTGCCTGTATGTTTTAGGTGGGAAGTGGTCCTTGTTCTTAATTAGGATCTGCAAAAGTTTTTGTTCTGTTTTCATTGTTGGACGAAATAAAGGGTTTGGTTTGAAATTCCAATTACATGAAAAAGGCCGGAGTGTACAATGGCTGAAATGTCATGAATATGGCAACAAAGATGAGGACAACAGTCTGAACAACAGTAAATAGTGTATATAATACAAATCATCTTTTAAACACAAAAGCTTTCAGAGAGGATAATATAGTTTCCTATGTTTATTGCCAATAATATATTTTTAGTGTAAAATCACTAAAAGGATACTCAGAATACAAGATACAGATTAATCTATTAGCCTATATAAAACTAATACACTAAATATTGTTTAAAAATTTTAAAAAATGAATGTTACTGGTTATATTATTATGTAACATTGAAGCTGAAATGTTAGTAAGAGTTATAAGACTAACATAAGAATGTCTTAAGTAATGTGACAAAGAGAAATTGTAAAATTAGAAAATATTTAACATTCTTACCTTGTCTTTTGAAGGAATATTGAAGTGATTTTTTAGTTCATGTCCTGATAAGAGGGAAACATCAAACTATAAAGGAAAAATAAATAAAAGCATTTAAAACTGTTATATCTCGTGCAAGATATAATAAACAAAGTAACACGAGTGTTGGGTTTCAATAATAGGTTTATAATCGGATGTAGGTGTGTCAATACAGAGACAAAATCGAGAGTATGCTAACCTCAATAGGTGTTAACAAACGAAGACCTCTTGCCTGTCCGCTGTGGTCGTACTTAATTGGCAACCAGTCCGTCCATTATCGTGAATGGGGAAGTTGGGTTATATCATCACAACACCTCCTCCCGAAGCTGAAATTCTCCCTTTTAAAAATTTCTGCTTCTAATGTTGTCTTCCCCGTGTGCTCCTTCTTTTAGTCGTCACAATTAGATCCTTTTTTGGCGAAGATAATTTCCACTTTTCAGCCCGTAAGGCTGGTCCGTGAGATATAGGTTCATATACACTATTGGGTAGTGTCATGTTAAAAGCATCGCATAACACTTCCATCGGAATTTCTTCTTCGCTTTTTTTCACTTTCTTCACCATATCATGGTCTAATCTGATTGATGTGTCTTTTATACGTAAACTTTTTACTTTTAATCGTGTAGACCACTTTACCAATCCTTTTCTGGATTATGCCATCCATCCAATAGCTTTTTCCACTTTTAAAATTTAAAAAAAAAAACTTTGTCTCCTGAAGTGTATTTTTTTATGTTGACTTTTTCTCTTTCTTAGCAACTTTTTTTGTTTTGATAGGGTAACAATCTATCGAAAATTGATCTAATTTTCCTTGCAAACATAATTTCTGCTGGTGACATTTTTGCATCGTTGTTCTCATTAGGAGTTACCCTATAGATTGCTAAGAACTTCTGAATAGTTCTTTCTTCCGTGTCCATACCTTTATTTTTATGTAAAGCACGATTCAAAGGTGTCAACAAATTTTCGGCTTGACCGTTCGACCTGGGATGACACACTGGTGTAGTTATGTGTTCAATGTCTAAGGCAGTACAGAAATCCTTAAACTCCATACTTGTGAACGCCCGTACCATTGTCGCTAACCAATGTCCTGGGAACCCTAAACGACTGAAAATTTCATCCAATGCACTGATGGTGTTCCTAGATGTAGGATGCTTGCACTTGACTACCTCAGGCCATTTCGATAAAGAGTCCACCAATATCAAATAATAGTACCCATTAATTGGTCCAGCATAGTCTATATCTAGACGTGCCCACGGCAAATCCGTTTTCGGCCAAGGATTCATTTTGACTGGAGGTGCCCTTGCAGTCAATTGACAACCTCTACATAGTCTTACAAAACCTTCAATATCCTTGTCCATTCCTGGCCAGTATACGTAACCATGCATGAGTGATTTCATCCGAGACATTCCAGGATGACTGGTATGAAATTCTTTCAGCATATCTGTGCGTAGAGATTGAGGTATAACAATTCTATCTGCGTACATCAACGTGTTATCATAAATTGAAAAAAAGGTGAAATCTGAGTTCCCTTTTTCTGTCTTTTATTCCATCTCGTCTGGTTCCTTAATTTCACAATATAGTGATCTTTTTCCGCTTCTTTTTTTATTTGGTCCAAAGTTACCGGCAATTCCCTGATTGTATTCAACAAGAGACCTGATATTTCTTTTTCCTCAGTTAATGCTGCTATAACCATCTCTTCTAACATTTCTTCATTTTTTGGAATCAGCCTTGACAATCCATCCGCATGCCCATGTTCTTTAGATTTGACGTATTCCATCCTAAAATGGTAATTAAGCAGGGTTACACCCCATCAGTTTATGGTCCATTTGAAGTACAAATGATCTACCATGTAAAAAGCGATGGTATTTTTTAACCCCGAACACAATCGACAAAAGCCTCTTTCTCGATCTGACTATAATTTTTTCAGCTGGAAGAAGAGTCCTCGGCTAGCGTCTTGATCGGTTTAGTAGTGACATCTTCATATTTGTGTAGCAGTGCAGCACCCACTCCATTACAAACTTGTGTCAGTTGCCAGAATGATCTCTTTCTCAGGATCATAATGTGCTAAGGCAAGATCTGAGAGTAGGCATATTTTTGTTTTCTGAAAAGCTGTCTCGCAATCTTTTGACCAAAACCATTTCTTGTCTTTTTTCAACAATTCGTTAAGGGGGGCTCTTAAATCATACATTTTAGGTATGTAGATTGCATAATATTGTGCCAACCCCAGAAACGATTGTAGTTTCGCAACTGTGTCAGGTACAGGCATGTTCTTAATTGCATCAGCTCTCTGTGGGTCCGGTTTCCTGCCTTCACTGTCTATTACCTGTCTGAGGTATGTAATTCTTTCCATGAAGAATTTACACTTCTCGTGGCTTAATTTAAAGCCAAAATCTTCTAGTCTTTTGAATATCGCTCTGATGTGCATTTTATGTTCTTGAACATTCTTACTTTTGACTAGAATGTCATCTAAATAGGCGGTACCAAACTCAAGGCCTGCCAGCATAGTGTCCATCACCTGTTGAAACAAAGCTGGGGTGACCTTTAAGCCGAAAAGAAGCTTATTTAGCTTATAAATACCTTTATGTGTATTTATACACAAATATTTTGAGCATTCGTCACTCACTTTAATCTGCAAGTATGCATCAGACAGGTCGATTTTTGAAAAAATCTTCCCACCATTCAATTTTGAAAAAAATATCTTCTGGTGAAGGTAGTGGATAACTGTGATTTTAAAGGCAATCATTTAACCCTGTTGAAAAATCTACACACTCTTATTTTTCCGTTTTCTTCTTAACATAAACTGTGGGCGAGGCCCAATCCCATGGTCAACCTTAGATATCACTCCCATTTTTCAAGCCTTTCCAATTCCTTATTAATTGTCTCTAAGGAGGAAAAAGGAACGTTTCTCTTAGGTTTAAAAAATTGGTTTCACATTTTCCTTGAGTTCAAATTTGACTTCCGTCTTAGTACATAAACCCAATCCCTCAGAAAAAACTCTGGGATATTCTTCTTTTAATTCATTCATGAATTTTTCATTTTAATACTTTTTGTTTTTCTGCACTGTTTATTACGTTTGCAAAATGAGTTAATCGGGAGTTCAAACAAATCAAAGAGTACTATCAGTCTATTCCAAAAAGACATGAATTAATCCCTTGGATTACATACACTTTCGTTTTTGCAGTCTTGCCACATAACGAAATATCGCACTTTAATTCTCCCTTAAAGTTTAATTTCTTTCCTGAAACCTCTAGCGTTTTTTTGGTTTCAGATAATTTAGGTCTTCAATATTTTTCCATGTTTGTTCATCAATGATGCTTATGTCTGAACCAGAATCCAATAGGAAAGTAATTGTATGATTATTTATCGTACATCTACATTACTTTCTATTTTTACCGTTCTGAATTTCTTTTTCTTATAATACCAGGCTTACATCTTGTAATTTCCTTTTCTTGCGGCAAACCGAATATTTATGCCCTTTATTTCCGCACGATTGACAATTTATTTTTGTACCAACACACGTCTTTGGTATGATTTTTATTTCCGCACAATTGGCAGAATTTATTTTTGTAACAACACACGTCTTTGGTATGGTTATTTTTTCCACACGTCTCGCATTTTTCTATCTTTTTGGCTTTTTGAGTTTTTTGAGTTTTTACGTTTCGAACATTAGCAACGCTTTTTTCCTTAATTTGTGTATTATCCCTTTTTACGTTTATGAGACGTTGGCATTCTTCGGTCACCATTTGTAATGTTATTTTCGAGTCTTGCTCGACCATTATTAATATTCTCGACCTAATTTCTTTATATTTAGGATCAGTTAGTCCTTGAAGAAAAATTAGGCACTTGAATACATCTTTGGTTATTTCTTCTAACTTGAATTGTTCAACCAGAGAGTTCACTGTTCGCGTATGTCACAAAATCCTCGTTATCTGCTTTAACGATGTTTAGGCATCTGTATCGCATGTGGAACAGACTATTCCTTCGTCAAATATTTTTGACAGAATACTTATAGTTTCTTCAAACGAAACTTCTTCTGGCTTTCTGGGCAATATCAAGTTTGAGTACTTCCTATTCTCGTTTGTCCCTAGTTTCTGGACTAATAATGTTACTCGTTCCTCATCTGACCAATGTTGACATCTCTTGGTAAATATAGTTTCGAAACGTTTAAAGTATGCTGGAAATGTAATGCCCGAATCAGGTTCATAAATAAATTCGGATAATGAATTTGCTATTCCTTCGGCAGAAAAAACAGCATTTTTTCTTTCTCCAGTCGCCTGATTCAGAATTTTTTCAAGACTTTTTTGCTGTTGCAGTATTTGTTGTTGTAAGTCTTGTTGCTGTTGTTGTTGCAAGCTTGTACACAGCATTTTAGTCATTTCGACTAATTGCTCCATCCAGACTTTATTTAGAATTAAAAAAAAAAAAAAATTTTTTTTTTTTTTTTTTTAAACGGTTAACAGACAATTTACAGCCATAATATTTTTACAACCCGTAATTTTTACTTGAATAATCCATTTTTAGACTGGCTCGTATTTGAGTCGCGGTTCAATATATATTTTTCAAATCACAATTTAACAGTAAAAATTTTCTTACTTTTCAAAAAGTTTCCTTTTGACTTGTGACTCCGTTTTCGAAATCCTAATCTGCATCAACTGATATCTTTGACTTGTGAATCTGCTTCTGAAATCTGTTCAGCGTAATCTTATATATATATATATATATATATTTTTTTTTTTAGGTAAGTACAGTTGCACAATCCTCGCCGCCAGCTGTTATATCTCGTGCAAGATATAATAAACAAAGTAACACGAGTGTTGGGTTTCAATAATAGGTTTATAATCGGATGTAGGTGTGTCAATACAGAGACAAAATCGAGAGTATGCTAACCTCAATAGGTGTTAACAAACGAAGACCTCTTGCCTGTCCGCTGTGGTCATACTTAATTGGCAACCAGTCTGTCCATTATCGTGAATGGGGAAGTTGGGTTATATCATCACAACAAAAACATTAAAAAATAAAGATCCACAAGAAAAATTCCAACAGAAATATTTAAATTGGCTATATTCAAATATTTTTCTTGCACAGTATCTACAAAATATTTTATTGAAAAAAAAAGAGCAAACAATTTTTGTTGAGAACAATTATAAAGTTACCCTTGCTGTAATTATCTGATTACAGAAAACTTCAACATAATAAAGATTAATTGAAATTGTACCAAATTTAGAATGTGATATTGTAAAAATACTCTATTTCTAGTCATGGAAGATAAACACATTACACCCCACAAAACAAAAACCCTCCCAAACCTATTGTCTTAAACTTACTGGTAGAGTAGTAATTACCAGCACTAGGTTAACACTAAACATGCCTGCTAAACACACTATACAATGTCAATTTTTCTTATACAAGTCAATGTTTTTAAAAAAAAATGTATATTAACCATTTGATGTTGGTAAAAGTTTCAAAATTTACTTGCATTTATATAATAAATATACCATGTTAATTTTAGCTTATAATATCTGTTTTTATAATTTTGCAATTAAAAACCATTGGCAAGATAAAAACAAGAAATTAAATGCTGGCTTTAAGAATGTCATGAGGAAAAATTTGAGAAAAATTAAGTTTAATAAGCAAGAAGATTTTTCATCAGGAACATATTTGAAGAAGCTGGTGTTGTCAATATGAACAAAGAGATGCAGAATATTAAAAACATTGGAAGCAACTTAACTATCAACTTTAAGTAAACACCACAAACAGAAACAAGTAAATTAGACAAATAAGTACATGATTTCTCAGCAGTAATTTTTATTGATGAATGTACAGCTACATTAGATGTGCCTGATGGCTGAGCTAGTGGTTGGGTCCTTCATGGAAATAGTTAACCAACACAACTTAGAAGACAATATAGTGGAGTTAAAGTACTATTTTCGTTAGTATTGTCAGCAGTAAAATTATAGGCCCCTTCCAAGTTGATAAAACCATCAAGATAAATGCAGAGAATTATGCTTGAAGATGTTTTTGGAATGATAGTTTGTAATTTAGAAGCTTTAAGTTAAAAAGTATGTTCATGAAAGGCAATGCTACTTTGTATATTTTCAAGTCACTAAATTAATGTGAGGTATGATGGAGTAATGGATAGTGGCTTGGATTGAGGAATCAGAGTTCAAATTCCATTCGAGTTTATTATATTCCCTTATGTGCTAATATCCTTGGGAAATGTATGAATCCATCTCTTCCCCTCAGCTATGGGCAAATAGCAGGACAGATTTGGTGTGGAGAGGGTTGTGCTTTGTCAGGCTGTCTTGCCCATGAAACACTACTGTTGCTATAGAAGTGTCCCTACGACCCTAAAGATTATGAGATTCATGATCGCGGTCATGAAATTAATGGAAGCCTTTTTTACTTTATTTTTGTTCTGTTTGTTAGCTATTTTGTATACCTGAAGAAAGCTGTAGAATGGACTACCCAAAATGTAACAAAAGCCACTAAAAATGACTTTGATAGTCCCAACAACTGGAATAGGTTAAGTTTTAGGCTTTTGAAAATAAATGGCAGTCTCCAAAGATGTCTGATGTCAAGCATTATAAACGAGACCAGAAACTACCATAGAGAGGAACAAAAAGGTCCATGAAAAGATGGAAAGGTTGAAAAATAAAGGAATGATAAAAAATTGATTTTTTTTTTTGTTCTACAGCTTTGTGGGTTATTTAAAACATACTAAGATTGTAGAAAGTTGTTTATAATACATGTAAACATATAATGCAACTCTCAAACAAGCTCTCCACAGCCAATGATTACCCCACATTACACTCTGATTCTTAATCTTATTGGTATGCACCAAAAGCTAAGGAAGGGTGTGTTGCATGCTCACAAGGTAATACAATGAAAGACAAACATGTTGAGAAATAACCTAGGTAGGTGATACTTGGGACAACTTCTGCTTCCCTCATACCAACTCCTCACCCATCTACTCATCTGGATGTGGTGGCTGGCAATATGAATAGAAGCTTTGGAACCACAACAGACATGTCTGTCTCTTGTCAAGAGTGGACGAGAACTCTTTCTGATCACAATCATGACTGTTAATATTGTTGAAAATTCCTTTTGACTCAAAGAGTAAATCAGAAGCCAATCCTGTACAATAAATGTTGGGAAATACTGCCTAGTCTAGTGACCCAAATTTCAGATTGGGATCAATTAATAATGAAAGAAGAAGAGAATCTGTGGAACAACTCTGTTCTCAAAAGGTCTTCTTACAAAAAAAAAAAAAAAGATGAGAAAGGTGGGAAGGTAGGCCTTAAGTAACAAGGTGGCAGACTTGCACATCCTACCCCTTCCAGTAAAAAGATAAAAAAAAAAAAAAAAAAAAAACAGTGCTCAGAGCGGCCTTGCTTTGAAAAACAAGCCATGGCAAACACATCTGACTGCAACCCAACACATGCAGGTAATTTCACTTATTTTTCCACAATATAGACCAGTAACTGGATATACTCTATTTCCGGTTTTGTTGTCACTTGATCTCCAAAACTCCCTCATCCATCCCTTTATTTCCCATTCCTTTTCAGTTAAAGCATATGCCACTTAGAAGATTGAACTTCAAAATGAACCATCCACTGGTCTATCAGAAACACTTAAGATTGAGATAAAATCACTTCTTCCCTTCCTACATGTTCTCGTGTTTCCAAGCAGTCTCCCATTTAAGTACTGGCTTATGTTCAGTGATCAAATAAGAACCTGTGTTTCTAGTGTGATTTGACTGTAAGCAAATGATTAAGAAAGGACAAAATACAGAAAAATTGCAAAACCAACCAATTTTAATCAAGAGATATATACTTAGCTGTTACTAAATATTGCACATCCCATTTATAGCAACTTTGTGATTACTTACATTAAAAGGGGCCTTTATCATCCAAAGTTCAATATTCTCATCCTCAAAATCAGCAATAATTTGAGATGGATCATCTGGGTTCACTTCTTCAGGCTCAAATTCAGGTGGGCAAATAAAACTAGAATAATCAAATGAGAAAACAATGTAATTATCAAAGAACTTGTAACAAAGGGATTCATTCAATAGAATGAAAAGTACATATTTTGTTATATATGATTAACACAAGATTTATTGAGTGACTGATTTTGTTTAGCAGCATATATACCGTTATACAGTTATTTAATGGTGAAATTGAAATATCTTAAACACAATTTTATGGCTTCAACTACAGATAAAATGTATTGTTGGTGATTTTACTATAAATATGTATCATTGATAAATTTTTATATAAAAATGTATTTTTATACTTTCATAGTGTTTTGGTTTTGTTGGGGGGGCACTATTTACACATTTTTTTTATTTTCTGCTCTGTGTAATTGGTTGTTAGGTATATTCGTTTGTTTTTTCAAATGTAATTTGAATTCGTATGCAAAACATTTTTACCATAGTGGGTTTTTTGTAGCTCTGTTCTTCATTTATTTATCATTTTGTAAATTTGATTGAATTTCATCTCTTTTCAGGCATATGACGATGGAGTGCCAAGTAGGGAAATAAATGGCCATTTTCAACACTTTCTTTTCTCTACTTTCAATCAAGGTTCCAAAGATACCAAGACTGCTCAAGATATTTGTGTTGTGTATGGAGAAGGTGCTATTACAGAAAGAAATGCACAGAAATGGTTTTCATGCTTCAAAACATGGAATTTCAGACTCACAGACTCTGTATTCTAGCCAACCAGTTCAGTTCAATAGAGACTGATGAGTGCATTCATGAGGATCCACATCAATCCACTAGGGAATTGACCTAGCAGATGGGTTGCTCTCATGATTCAGTAACCAGTTATCTTAACTACATTTGTTAAAATTGTTGGTAAGAGGATTAAAATAAATGAAAAAAAATGTCAAAATTTGGCAATCTTCTCTCTCTCTCTATATATATATATATATATAGACACACACACACAGGGTGTTGCAGAAAAATCCGACACTTGACAAAAAGAAAACGAAATAAGGAATAAAAACAAAAGTTGTATATGCAGAGACCTGACAGTTTATTTAGCAACAGTTAGAGTTCCATCCTACATTATTTTTCAATGTAACCACAGCTGGCGGCAACGACCATCTCAAGGCATGTGCGAAATGAGTCACATGCTTTGGCGACCATGTCCTTGTCCATAGCGGCAAACGCCTCTATGATGGCAGCCTTCAGAGAGTCAACTGTGTTGTGGGCATGCTTCTTGGTCTCGATCACGCCCCAGAAAAAAATAGATAAGGGGGTTGCAGTCAGGTGAGGAGGGCAGCTACAAGTCTGGCAACCAGCACACAAGGCCAAGACAACCCAGGCGTGGCTGCTCAACAACGTTCCTAACCACTGGTTGCCGGACTTGTGGCTGCCCTCCTCACCTGACAGCAACCCCCTTGACTATTTCTTCTGGGGCATGATCAAGGCCAAGACCAACAAGCACAGCCACAACACGCCGCTATGGACATGGTCACCAAAGTATGTCACTCATTTCGCGCCAGCCTTGAGATGATTGTTGTCACTGCCAGCGGCGGTTACATTGAAAAATAATTTAGTATGGAACTCTAACTGTTGCTAAATAAACTGTCGGGTCTCTGCATACACAACTTTTGTTTTTATTACCTATTTCGTTTTCTTTTTGTCAAGTGTCAGATTTTGCTGTAACACCCTGTGTGTGTGTGTGTATATATATATATATATATATATATAGATAGATAGATAGATAGATAGGATGTGTATATGTAGGATGTATAGTACCTGAAACAAAAGTGGATAGATTGGGCCAGTATCATAACTTCCATGTACAGTTGCTAAAAATATTTTCATGGTAACTGTTTTGATGCACTTTCCTCTTTGTTACCATAACTTTATGAAATTAAGTGCAGTACTAGATTAGCAGTTAGGTCTCATTATTTTACAGTTGAAATGGCTAGATGTAACTGTAAGTTCTATGCTAACAGTTTCTTCTCTTGCACTACTCACTTGTGGAACTCTTCTGGCCTCTTGCCTTCCAGTCAATTTTGATCTCCAAAAATTTAAATTCAATGTCAATTGTCCTCTTTTGTCTTAATTCCTGTTCTTTTTGTAGTTGATAATCACATCAAGCCTAGTTCAGCACAAGTCAAGTTCTGTAGGTCCTTTCCCTGCTCATCTGTGTGGTTTCTATTTTTGACGATACAAGCAAATTAGATTCCCTTGTTTCTATAACAATGTTTTTCTTTTTCCCTTATTCTTTCACAGTGAGCTCAGTAAGCCCCTTGTGCCTTAGTGGCTTTATTGCCTTGCTTGTCTGTATTCATTTATTGTTCTTGTTCAGGATCTATAACAGCCTCCTCTTGATTTTCAAGGCCAGATCCTTTCTTATCTTGCTGTAGCTATTTTCCCTAACTACACTAGCCAATTTTCTACATAGTTTAATTTTTACATTACCACTACTGAATTTTCTTTGTCTGCGCACAGCATGACAATTTTAGTATCACTTCAGATTTTGATAGTTGTTTTGTTCTTTTGTGATGCTTGATTTTTCAATGCACGTCTCACTTTTCATCTAAACTCCTCAGCTTGAGATTTAGGAAGCCTTAAAGTTGCCTCTTCAATTAGGGCTGTAATGTCTATGTATAGAACTTTTTTGATAGATATTTCTTATTAATATAGATGAGATCTTTTCTGTTAACTCATCCCAAATAATGTACAGCTACTTAATTATAAATTTTAAATCAAAGTTTGTTTTTTTTAATTAAATTTTTGGCACTCTTTTGAAATTATAAATTTTAAATCAAAATTTGTTGAGTGTGTCTCACATCAACTCCAACTCTCAATGAAAAATTACCAAAAATCAGGTAGTTATTCACATTTCGTAAGTGCTGATGATATTTGAGATACTTGCAAGGAACTTTTTACAATTAAAAAGAAAACAAAAAAGAAAAACTCTGGGAGAATTTGGTGTGAATTTTAGTAAATATATATTCCTTTTATTTTGGTGTGAATTAGCAGAAAAGATCCTATGGTGGGTATACATGTTTGAGTAGATATCTCAGTGTAATTGATGTCTAATGGCCTGGGCATTTGAAAGTCTTAATAAAATTGTACCTTTCTGTGTCCCTCTTTTATAGAGGGAAACCACTTTTAAGCTAGGTGTGCTCTAGATTGCTCAGCCATGAAGGCATGAAAGCAACGCTCAATTACCCTTTTAAAGAAATGAACATCTGTTCGGATATTTGGAAACCCATGTCTGCTTACTTTATTTTTGTATGCAAATTTAAGACATTTGTTCAGCACTGTTTCTCCCCAGACATTTAATTGGCATTTGCTGATGTTGATTGATTGTTTAGTGGCATATCAACTCCTGATGGTTATTTAATGCAGAAATTTAATTGGGGGGGATTAGTAATTTCTTTTATAAAAATGTATTGCTGTTGAGTTTTTTTTTTCTTTTTTAAAAAACAAAAACGTATTGTATTGCTGGTAACTTTTTTACTATAAAAGTATATTGCTGGTATTTTTACTATAAAATTTTTTATCTTTCATACTGTTTTGATCCCAGTTTGGGGGTTAAGTATTTGCTCTTAGCTGGGACCCTAACAGGTGCTACCATGCCAGGTCAGAATGGACCTGGAAACAACAGCAATTAAGAGGTGATTCCGTGCTCTTCAAAACCTCTCAATCAGAGGCTTAGCTGCTGGATATAGTTCATCATCATAGCCAGGACTATGCTGATGTTGACAATTACTTTCATATGCAGATGGTAAGTGGTGTTGTTTAAATTAATGTAGTTTCTGTATTTGATGTCTCAACATCTTGAATTTCTGCTTGTATTACTTGCCAAGGTCATGACAAATTAGATTTCTATTCATTTCTAATGTTATTTGATCTAAGAATGGTTCCATCTGGTTAGAAAGTTCACTTTATTTACATTCAGACTATTGTCCTTATCTTTGTTGTTATTATCACACGGTTTCAACTGCTGTATCTTCCAGCCTTTATCAGGTGTTTGCCAGTCTAGGTAACTTTCAGGGGATTTTAAATGGAAACTTTTATTTAACCTTCAAGAATAGACTGTTCTCATTTTGCTTTCCATGTCTTGTTCTTATTTAGTACTGCTCAGTTATTGCCCACCCAGTTTTTCAGTCCAGGGTTGATACTCACCTGGGGTTGCCAGATGTTATCCCTTATATACTGGACATGTCCGTATTGGATAATTTTGTCCCCTCTTCCGTACTGACTTTTCTAAATGTCCCATATTTAGTTCATTTTTAAATTTCATATATTTTTACTATGTTCTTACAGTTCTTGGCTGAAATCATACTGTCAACAAAGTGTGTCGTTACTACTTACCATAGCCTGCTTTTTTTTCTAACTTAAAAAAACTCATCCATCCATTGCAAGATGTCAAAACAGAAGTGTAAATTTTGTGATGAATATTTCAATGAATGGTAATTTACCAAACAAGGCAGAAGCTGTTTTGAAGCAAGCTGTGGTGTATGTAATTGTACTTTTAGTATTGAAGAGGGCGGAAAATCTGATATCAAGCAACATATAGAAACAGCAAAGCACCAGCGTAGTATTGCCTCTATAGAATTTCTTTTTCTTAGTTTGTATTAAATAATTTTCAAATGACTTTACTTTTATTTTCCTCATAACTCATTAAAATGATTGCCTTATGTCACTGTTTCCCAACCTTTTTTTCAACCAGCACCCCCTTTGGGGACAAACATTTTTTATCAACATCCCCTGTCAAATTAAATTTTAAATATTATACTGAATTCATCTGTCATAGCAAGATAACACTTAGATATTTATGCAAAAGTAATTTTAATATTGTTTTCCTTTCTATTATAAATGTCAATGATTAAAATGCTAAAAAAAACAAAAAAAAACTTTTATTTGATAGTTTACCAGAATGTTTTTAATGCGATGGTTGATTTTGGTGCTTACTGGCTAAGGCTTATACTCTAGGTTTCTTGCTGCTTAGAAGTAATCATAGATCACCTCATTTTGTAATTTGCAGGTGATTTCTTTGTTTAGGAAGAAGCTGTGTAACTGCATTGAAACTACATTCTGCCATATAGGAAGTTGGAAAAGCAATGAAGAAAACTTTGATAGCTCCCCACAGCTTTAGATGCCTTTCAGAATTTTCCTCTTGCAGCCAATATTGAATAATTTTTGAAAATTTAACTTATGTATCTCCTTTTATATAACATATGGTCTGAATGTGTAGGCATGTATGTACGTATATATATGTGTGTGTGTATGCAAATTATTTTCAGATAGAATTTATCTGTAAAAGAACAAAATCAAAATGAATGAAAAGACAAGAGGAAAAACTATTCTTAGCCAATGCATTTTGTTCTCTGAGAAACTTTATCAAGGCAATGTAGGAATTATTTTGTTGCGCATATTTATATACAAAAGCAAGGATGTCATTGATTTATCAGGGCTTTTAAATTTGAGAACATCCATGAATGTTTGTCAGGTGGTTGAAAGGTCAGTGAGAGGTGGAGGACACAAAGTATCATAATTCAAACTCTAGTAAAAAGTAAGCAAGTAATATTCAAGAAATATATATATTTTTAAATGAATATTGTTTAAATTGTGATTAGATTGTTATGGTAGGGGATGGGCATATGTGCTGCATGACATCTTTGCTTTTGTATATAAACATGTGCAACAAAATAAATCCTACATTGTCTTGATAAAGTCTCTCAGAGGATGAAATTCATCGGCTAAGAATAGCTTGTCCTGTTTTTTTTTTATTCACACAGACACACATGTATATATATTTTTTAAGAATGTCCGATATTTCTAATTTTTTAATCTGGCAAGCCTGTATTCACCAAATGTCAAAAACATTATGAACACTTTAATCTTCAGTTCTCCTGTTCACTTTGTAACTGATATTTCAACCAGTAGATACGATTATTAAACCCTTTCCATAACCAGATAGTGTTCTGCTCTTTCTGCAACCACTTGTGCCCTTCTGGAATTGTACCAGTTTTTGATGGCGATTTTAATTGTCTCTATATTGGTGCATCGTGTTCGTTCTATAATCATTTGATAATTTATAATAATGTCTTAATAAGCAGACATAAGATGTTCACTAGGAGTGGAAAATAAAATGAGAAAAGTTTCCTCCACCCCCATTGGAATGTCTAACAGGTTATATTATAACGAGAAGGTCACCGAGTACGTCAAACACCTGAAGAATGCTAGAGTACAAACAATGGTCGAAACGTTGTGAGTACTAGTACAATAACCAAGATGCATGTGTTGTCCAAATAGAAAAGCATATAATACGAAACATCAATGTGTAAGTCACCAGAGCATTTTTATGGTGATGTTAGGTGAACTAAAAATACATTAAAAATGATACATTTTCGACTGCGCAAAAAAAAAAAAAAAAAAAAAAAACAGAGTTTTGTTTTCCTGTTATTTTGTTCACGCACTTGCGTTCAGGAGAAAAAATCAACAAAAATGAAAAGTAAAAAAAATTCAAACTTTTTGTCGACAACAATAATTTTTTTTAATCGCTTTTCCTAATCACAATTATAAAAAAGTTTATTCTTTTTAATTTTTATACACTGACAGTTTAAAAAACTTTAGTGACTTAGTAGTGTAACTTTAAAAATGGCGATCTTATTCTTTAACACTTCACAAAATAATACTAAAAAAATACCGGCTCTGTTCACACAATTCTTATATGTCTTATTTCTTAAAATAAATAATCAATTATTTTTCATCTAGAAATTTCATAAAAATTACTGTCTTCGAATATTTTTCTCGGGCCTTCTGACACGAGGTTACTGAGTGGGAAAAATAATAAAAAGTGCTAATATTACTAACTTTTCTAAAGAGGGAACGTTCTGTAAAAAACAAACAATTATTATTCACTAAAACAAAATGAAAACTGAGAAAATTAAATCTAAGAAGGCATATTTTTAAGTAAATAAAATTAAGAAAACCAAGTTAATGAATGTTACAATGCATAGGACAATAATACAATAAAGAGAGACTGATGCATAAATCAACACACAAGAACCAAAATAATGTAAAAATGTTGCAAAAGTAAATTTAATTTTAAAAAATCCTTGAGATGTGAAAGACAATAAAACTAAAACATCTTTTAAAAGTTTTTTTTAACTTACTTAACGATAAAATTACGATAAGAAAGCCATAAATTAAGAATGATTTATAAAAATAGTCATAATAACGGTCTTTCTTTCAAGCATAACAGACTTCTATATTTGTTTATTGTAGATTATTTTTCAGTACTTACTCATGAACCACTGCCATGACGAGAAAAGGAGAAATTAAAACAAAATTTCTCTCAGTATCGCTAATGTTTCTTGCTAAAAGCGCACGTGGCTGAACTTGGAAGAGTTATTCATTAAAGGGAGGTCACTGTGCGAAATAATAAACAAACACGGAAGAATTTTGCATTCCAGCTTCGTTACTTTTTACAGAAAGTTCTGTCTTTTCTTAACAACTGTTGTAAGGAAAAGAAACAGAAAAAACATTCAAATTCGCCAGTCTAAGAGAAAAAAAAAAACAGGTATAATTTAAAACTGGGAAAGGCAAAAGTAAAAAGAACTATGCTCGACTAACTTTTCATTAACCAGGTATACTTTGACTTAAAGACTAAAACTTTTAAGTTAGTACTGATTTATCGCCTGCTTACCAAGTAACTAATAAACAAAAAATTGAATTAAATTTCATTTATGATCAGTGACATAGCTAGACAGTGTGTGCCGCCGGAGCAACCTTTGAGTTTACAGGCCCCTATAAAAAGTACATATTGCACAGTGACTCACTCTCTCTATGTTCAATAATTCGCCCCCAAAACTAAAACAGCATGACGAAAAAAAGCCCCACACTTAATAAAACAAAGTTTTATCGTCAAAAGTGTTTAAAGACTAAAATTATTAAAGTTAAATTATTTTTAATAAAATTTTATTCCTTTCTAGCACGTTTGAAATTTTGGTTGAAAATCTTGTTCTTTTTTAACTAAGTTATAAAAGAACAAGATTTTCAACCAAAAATTTCAAACGTGCTAGAAAGGAATAAAAACGGTCGAGTAATATTTAGCATTAGTTTTTTTTACCGCTTTTTTCAGTTGAAAAACACATTAATTTGGAAATTCTTGCGAAAATCAAATAATTGTCGGATTTTAATGAAACTATAGTGGCACTAAGAGAAGAAGCAGGAAGTTACCTCTTTCATAGCTTAAAACAGGATGACATATTTCAGGCTTTGCGCAATAGGCTCCACGCATAACTTCCTAGATTTATTGTAAACAATACAATTATGGCACTGCAGTGGTTGCTATGCTTTTCCACGCCCACATTTTATTCACCCGCGATTGGCTAATAAATCACTACTACCTTTGTATAGGACAATTTAGCTATCGCAGTCGTTTCTTTGAATCCTTCGTGCTAGGAAACTTGTCCTGGCTTTCCTGCATCAAAGGGTTGTGTTTAAAAATAGGGTTGAGGTTTAAAAAATTGCGAAAAAACGCAAGTAAAACATCAAGATTAGAGCTGACAAACTCTCGCTTTTAGGCGCGTACGAATAAAGAAAAAACTCCTGCTCGGTGAGTAACAACAAAAGAAGAAAGTGTTTATTTACAACACAGAAAAAAATGTAAAGGGATAAAAGGACGATTAGTAGAGAAAGAAAGGGAAAAGAGAAAATGTTCTTAAAAAAAAGAATGAAGGAAGCCTGCAGCTGAGTGAGTTTTTTTTTTGGTCGACGACAGAAGTCCAGTGGGCTCGTCAGAAGGAGTGGTGAAGAGATGCAGCTATAGAATCGTCAATGTTTGTCTACTCACCCCCGTTAAACATAGACTCTTCTATAAGAATTAGCTTTGACCAATCAACACCACACATTGTGAAACTCGGCTTATTATTGGTCGAGACGACCCTAGAATGTGTATCCATGGTCAAAAATCTGTTTTCCCGCCAGGCCACTGGGAGCCTACTTTGGTTTCCCAAACTAAATAAAAGGACGAATTTCAGTCCAATTCACCAGTCAGACCTCTTCACCTAGAGAGAAACCCATCAACTCCACGCCAGTCAAAACTCAGACTTTGCCGCGCAAAAGAATATTCTCTGACTCAACAATCCACAAAAACACTCTATCTCTCTCTAGAACAATTTCTCAAACTTCACTTGCTATACTTTCAAAGTGATATTTCTCACTACATAACAAGTATCAGAAACTAACAATTTATTTTTCTCAAGCAGATGAAGGTACGCAACTCTGAACAACTTTGAATATTTGTATAAACACACTTACGTACATACACTAACAATTGAACCTCAACACCGAACATTTTTGTACGTTGATCAAACGAACAGTTTAATTCTGTGAACAAATCTAATCAATACCTGCAAACGCACCCAAACATTCACAACAACACAATACACAATTAAATACACTAATCCTCATTTATCCATCAAAACTTAAACCCACAGTATTTAAATTGTATATAAATTGATGTTATTGTTATGCATTCAACTTTTGTCTTGTTTTCAACTTTATTTGCATGATTTGTTCCAAGTATTTGTTCTAAATAATTGTTGTGGACGAATGTTGTAGAACACAGCCTCGAAATTCCTTCTGATCAATTTAAACACAATCACCAGTCCGCAACACAGCTTTTTGGACTGGTCTTGAATAGTGGACCGACGTTCGTTTTTGACAGCTCGTAGTTCTTCTTTGGTGAAAGAGGGACTAGAGCTTTCTATAATCGACCTCACAGAGGGTGGACAGAAATTTCACTGTCGAAATAGGCAAGATTCCCCAAATTTAAGGAGTTTTGGGAGGTTCCGATGGATCGTAACTTTTCCCTCCAAAATTTTTGTTCAAATTTCCTGGCCTCTCTATTGGTCAGAAAACACATTCTTATCTCTGATAAGAATCAGGACCCTGGGAGACGGTTTCGAAGGTACTGAAGACAGGTTGAAATGAAGAAGCTGTGAGGTTTCTCCCAGACTTTATGGCTCCATGGAAAGAATAATGGTGGTGGAATCCCTTTTTATTTTCCAGCTCTCTCCTTAGTCAGAAAATATATTCTTATTTCTGATAAGAATGAAGGCCTTGGGAGCCGGTTTTGAAATTAAAAAAGGTTGGAGTGAGGATGGAAAATATTGCGAGAATTTGAACTTGTGAAATTGTTGTTTTCAAATTAAATTCCAACACTCGGTTTTGAGCTTGCTTGCTTGTTCTGTTAGTACGAATGTAGTGATTGGTTAATTTTTAACCAATCACATATTTTAGTGCAAGATTAAGCTTTCCCGCGTTGCCGTGGGAGCCTACACTTTTTTCTTAAAAGGGGCGACATTTCACAAGTCGTCAGTAAGATCCCGTAAGATTCCAGCCGTCAACACAAATCCACGATCTTACTCATCACATTTCAAACGCACACACAGACACAGAATTTTGTAATATAAACTTACAATTCTCTCTGTGACTTTGCCAAGTTCAATCAACCAGAACTCCGAAACATTCTATAACACAACACATCTTTAATTAATTGTATTCTTGTGTTATTTATTCTTAACATGTATACTTGCTCTAATATTGATTTCTGAATATTTTTCTCTCAAGAGAACTTTCTTCGAACAATCAATTACAAATCATTCTACAGTTAAAGGGGAACAACTTCTTTCCCTTAATCTATACATTGAAAACAATTTTATTGCATGTTTGTTCTTGTATGTTATTTCAATATATATTTGTTGATTAACAATTTGGAGTTATTGTTATTTACTTGAATCCTGTACGTTGGAAATATCGTTAATATAAATAGTATTGGTCCATCTAGAATCAGACTTTTACAGTACATGGCCTAAAATAGAGGATGGGTTAAGGCTGGTCTCCACTATCTTATACCTAGCTAATCCGATTCACGACCCACTCACTCATTACAATTCGCACATTCACCATAAGAACTTATCCGTCATCAATCAATCTTCCATACACCATAACGCCGCATACCCCCAGGGGAAACTACAAAAACGCACCCCATGGTATAAAAGTTTAATGATAATAAAAGTTCAATACATAAAAATCTAATGTTTGACAATGCGTGGGAAGGGAATGAAACCCCTAAACAAACTAAATATCAAATCAAAGTAAAATAAATATAACTGATGTTAGTAGGGCCCGTTCAACACTCAAAAAGGAGAGGCCGCTGTATTCTGCCCATTGGACAAAATCAAGAGGCTCTCTTGCTAAGCGAGTGGGAAAGGATAAGAAATATACGGACATGGGAAACAAAACACAACAAAAAACTGACCCAGTCGAGATAAAAAGAGGTCATAACAAACTGGGAAGGTTAGGGATCTCAACTTGAATCATAACCAAAGATGTGGCCAGGAACAACATTTACTTACATTAACTAGGTACACAAAGCTTGTCTAGCCTAACCGGGGGAGGGCTCCATAGGAAGCCGTCCCGATGTGACATAGGTAGACCTAAAAGAGAAAATCAACGCTATCCCCGTTCACACGAACCAACCTCGCGTCAGCCACCCACCTTTCGCTGAAGACTGTCGAATGCAAGCGTTTTCTATCAGTTCTGATCTTCATCTTGAGCTGGTGTTTAAAGAATCGGATCAGATCCTGATTGTAGAATATTGGTTAGCTTGCCAGTAGTCTAACACACAAGTAGGCAAGTGTAGCCAAAGCTAAGATAGTAAGTTTCCAAGCGTAGCTCAGATGTGGTACAAGGCCGAAAGTATGGGGCACCCAGTGTGGATCGAACTCACTATTCAGTCGTACTTGTTCTAGCGAGACAAGCTTGCTAACCATTACACCACCCCGAGGTGCCTAGGTTATTTTCCAAGCATAGCTTAGATGTGGGAAAGTATGGGGCATCTAGTGAGGATCGAACTCACTTTTCAGTTGTAACTGATCGAGCGAGACAAGCTTGCTAACCATTGCACCACGGCGAAGTGCCCCCAAAGCTAAGGTTGACTTGGATTATTTCATGGAGAAATATATGGTTGAATAAAGACCACTCATGCAAATATATTGGGCAGGTCCATTCTAGCAAAATGGACCAACCTAACTGGTGTATTAGGCACTCTCCTATAAAATGAGGTAAAATCAGCTGGCTTGCTTTACAAGGAAATGAAGAAGGCAGCCATGTTGGCAGGTAAGTCACTTGACTTCTACATCTCCCTCCTCTCCCCATTGCGGAAACATATTGGCCATTGGGGAGGAATCAGTTCCCTATTGCCTGGCCGATTGTACGGGAGTAGTCGGGATAGCACCCTGTGAATCCTGGTT